AATTTAATAAATAAGAAAAATAAAAAATAAAAATATTTGATCAAATTGTAGCATAAAACTTAATCATTAATACATTATTGTATAATTTTATGTTTATATATCTTATATATATATATATATAAACGAGATACTAAAAAAAAAAAGAAATATACGACAATGACATTCAATTATCAATATATAGTCATCTTGGATGTATCATGAAAATCTATTGAAATTAAATTTATTAAATTATCCATCTTTATAAAAATTTGTGTAAATTTATGTTGTCAAATTTTAAAAGAAAGTATTTTTGATATTGTTATAAATATAAATTAATAGCTTCTTTCGAACATAACCTATATTTTTTCGGTGTTTAATTGAAATTAATTTGAAACGATGTTAAAAAAAATAACATTGAATTTTAAATCAAATATACGTTTTCTTAGTAATTTATCAGCAAAATGTAAAGAAAATATTGAAGATAAAATGCAAGCTTGGCAAATTCATTCATATGGTGGTTTGGAAGAATTAAAACTCTCAAATGTCAGAATTCCAGTAATTAATAGACCAACAGATATTCTTGTGAAAATTGAAGCTTCTAGTGTAAATCCTATAGATATATATATGACACGTATGCAATATTTTATATTAATTATTTATTTATTAAAGTTTATTAAGTTTCAATGATAAATATTTAATATTTATAATTGAATATTTTGTATTAGGAGGATATGGTGCAGTAATTTTAAATTTATTAAGAAAAGCAAAAAATCTTACTAGTAGACAATATGATGAATTAGAATTGCCATTAACTTTAGGTAGAGATTTTTCTGGTATAATAGTTTCAAAAGGACATGGAGTTGGAAATAAATTAAAATTAGGTGATGAAATATGGGGTGTAGTTCCTGTGGAACAACAAGGTTGTCATGCTAATTATGTAGTTGTAAATAGTTCGCATGTAAGTAATATTAATTGACTAAATGACCAAAAAAAAAAAAGAACAAAATGTATAAATCAAAAAGTTATTTATCTATAGGTTACTTTGAGACCTAGAAATTTGTCACATATTGAAGCAGCCAGTATATTATATACTGGTCTTACAGCATGGTCTGCATTGTGGATTACTGGTGCATTATATTGTAAAAGTATAATGCCTCTAAAAAAAAGTAACAAAGTTTTAGTATTAGGTGGTGCAGGAGGAGTAGGAACTATGGCAATACAACTTTTGAAGTCTTGGGATATGAATGTAAATCACTCATCATATCAATAAATTTATCATTTCTATACATATTAAAACATAAATTAAATTGATTCAGGTTGTTACTACATGTAGTAGCGATGCTGTCAATTTAGTACAAAAATTAGGAGCTGATACTGTGATTGATTACAAATTAGATGGCGCTGATTCAAAAATAATTAGTGAAGGACCGTATGTATTTTATTCCTTAAATTTTCATTGATTCATTCTATGTAAAATGATATAAATTTCTAATTTATTTCTAATTTAGTTATAATATAATTTTGGATTGCGCTAATCAAGGACCAGATATGATAAGATTAAAGGGTTATCCTCATTCTACTTATATAACTTTAAATTCTCCAATATTAAAAAATACAGATCAACATGGATTAATAGCAGGCACAGTAAAAAATATAGGTGAATTGTTGAAATATAATATGTCTATTGTTGAAAATAGAAGTACAGTGAAATGGGGTTTTTTTACACCTTCAACAGCAGGAATTAAAACACTTAAAGAATTGGTTGAAACTGAAAAGGTAATATTAATTTCCATATATCATTTTAATTTTAATTAATAATATATATACATATACATGTACATATATGATTTTTTATTTTATTTAGCTTATTCCTGTAGTTAAAAAAGTATATTCATTTCAAGATTTACCACTAGCATATGAAAGAGTAGCTCAAGGTCATTTACGAGGTAAATTAGTTATTGATATGACATAGTATTATATCAACAATTTTATATCACAATATTATATCAACAATTAATCCAAAAAAATTAACAATAAAATTATTTCATACAATAAATATGCATTTTATGTTATATTTTATTATACTATATTTTGTACTGACTCATTAATACAGAGAATATCATTTTCAAAACCAATTTTATTTCGAACATCATACCAACAATCATTAGCTATCTCGATCGCTTTTTCTGTACCATTCTTCAAAATTTCTTCTAAATACATTGGATCCTTAATTAATTTTGAATATTCTTTACGAATTGGAGTTAATTTTTCTATAATAAAATCTGCCAGCATCAATTTATATCTATAACACATAAACGATTAAATTAAAATAAAAAAATAATTTAAAATTGTACAACGAATGAAAAAGAAAAAAATTGAATTTTTTAATGTACATACTTTCCAGTATCTAATTCTTCTACTTCAGAACATATTTGATCCTTAGATTTTCCACTAAGCATTGAATGAATAATAACTAAATTTGAAACACCAGGTCTTGTTTCTGGTTCATAAGTTACTTTCGAAGTACAATCGGTAACAGCTTTTTTTATCTTTTCCAACAATATATCAGGTTCATCTAATAAATCTAATCTATTTCTTGAATCTTTCTCAGACTTTGACATTTTCTTTAAAGGATTGCGAAGAGATTTTATACGTTGACTTGCATTTTCTGCAATATATATATATATATACTATTAGAAAAAAATAATTCATATGTTTATCATTATATATTTTTTGTAGAAATAAAATTTTTACCATTAACTAAAGAATGAGGTACAGGAAAAGTATCTCCAAATTTTTTGTTAAATTTAATAGCTAATTCTTGTGCTAATTGAATATGTTGAACTTGATCTTGTCCAACTGGAACATGTGTTGCCCTATAATTAAATATAAATAGTTTCTTCGTAAAATTAGTTTTAATTAAGTAATATAAAAAATTAATATGATCAATTTTTATGAATAATTGAAACTAATTAATTCTAAGATAATATTAAGCATTATTAAGACACTTTAATTTGATTATTTTTGTGCATAAAATACTTACTTATATAGTAATATATCAGCAGCTTGTAAAACAGGATAAATATATAAACTCAAAGGGATGACTTTTAATGTCTGACTTTTTTCTTTATATTGAGGTAGGCGAGTTAATCGTGCTTGAGTTGAAAGACATCCCAAAATCCAACTTAATTGTGTATGCATGGGTACAGTAGATTGTTGGAATAATATACTCTTCTTTGGATCAATACCACATGCTAACAATGTTGCTGTCATTTTAAATATATTATCATTTAACACTTTTGGATCCTATTAAATTATATTCACTCTCAATTCATATTTTTTTTCTTTTTTATTTTTGAAAGAAAATTTTTAAATTTATACACATATATTATAAATATATAATAATATAATATATTATAAAATAATAATATAATATATTAATAATATAATATATTATTAATAATAATTCTTATAAAACAAGAATTAATGAAATATAACATTGTTTATATCACTATTAGTATATATTAAACACAAAATACATATTTAATAAATTCTTACATGTGATAAAGTAATAGCATGCATATCCACAATGCTCCAAATAACATTTTCTCCATTATTCTGGAATTGTATCCATTTTTGTATAGCACCAAGATAATTTCCCAAATGTAAATTTCCAGTTGGCTGAATTCCCGAAAATATTCTTTTTGGATAATATTTAGAAACCTGTAATTAATTGATATATTTAAATAAAAAATTAATACTTTTAATATTGTGAAACTTAACCTTTTGACTATATTTTTTTATGAGTATATATTTGGAATTAATTCTTTGAAAACTATGAATATTTTTTATTGTTTTAAACATTTTCAATAAATTAATACATTTAAATAGATTGTTATTTAAAATTAAATTCAAAATACGTGTTTTTAATTAATACTGAAAAACTTATCTAATATGAAGCTAAATGTATTCTATATTTTTTTATTTATATATATTAATTTACTTATTATTTATATTATTTTTTATTTCTATATATATATATATATATATATGTGTGTATGTGTGTAGTTATTAGTTTATGTACAAAATTATATATATAAATATTATATATTACAATTTGCGGGAATTTTAAAGAACATCTATATAAGTAAAGAACATCTATATAAAGTATTGTGTGTTTTTTTATATGAAACAAATCAAGTCTTTTATGTAATTATTATTATAGAATTTGAATATTGTTTATTTTTGCACAATTAAAAGAATTCATTATAATTATATTATAATAAATATATTATATTTTCACTTCATATTCATATAAATACAATATAAATATATAAATTCTGAATATTATACTATACTATAAAATTTTGTTATAATATTGAATATCATCATTTTCATCAATGATGTGAATGATTTATTTGAAATTTTCTGATATATTTTTCTTTAATTCTTTTTTTATTAGATGATACATCATTATATATTTTTATAGATACTTTCATATGTCTTCCTAGAACTAATAACATTTTTACCAGAAAATAATTTCCGTTTAGTAGCGCTGATTAAAGAAAACCACCAATGAGTTTGTCAAGCTTAGTAAAAAAATATGTTTTAAGAACTATACTTTATTCAATGAGAAAAAATGTCTAAAATAAATAAATCAAATATATAATGTTTTGAAATCACATAATATGTAAAATTTGAAATTTAAAATATTAATTAAATAATATATCAAGATTAGATTAAGATTAGATTATATCAATACATAAAACTATATTGATTCTCGCTTATAACATACTGATGATTGTTTTTCATGAAAATAGATTCACATTATATTATTTATTGTAAATTTTTATCTTAGAAATTATTTATTGAAATTTATTTTTTTTTTATTTTAATTTAAAGATAATTTAAAAATAATAATATTTTATCATATATAATTTACATTCTCAGATTTGTGAATCCAACTTTATTCATTTTAATTTTTACTCATAAAGTTTTATTTACATTCGATGACTCAACTAGTTGGATAAAGTATAATACTTGGAATATATTTTTTTGTTAGGATTGGCAAACTCGATGTGATACGCAATTTCTACTATTAGTGTCATCTAGTAGAAATTATTAGAGCTAATATCTTCTACCACAGAATTTTCTTAATTTATATATACCCTTCGAAAAGCAATTTGCATACTGATTGTTGCACAGCTGATCTCGTAATATCATCCAGAACGATATTTTTTTGTGTGTTTTTTTAATACTTATGAAAAATCGACTGTGAAAGAACATTGCAGATATTTAGAGGTTTGTTTCGTATTTGTTAATAATCATATCTTATTATTCTTTTAACATTGTGACACATTCAAGGAAAATGTATTAAGCAAGTAATTCAGTAATAGTGAATGGATGAAAAGTGTATCATCGAGATTTACAGAAGTAAAAACCGTGTGAATAATCTGTTTTGGTGTTTGAGTTTTATTTATTGGACTAGTCAACGGTTATGGTATATTTGTCGGGTACCTGGGGTATGGGAGAAACAAAATCGCAGTGCCATAATACAAATAATTCCTCCTTTCTGCAGGAGAATGATGAAGAAGTCGCATTATTACCACTCAAAAATCAGGTAATGATAATTTGTTTTATTTAATTATATAAATATATGTTTAAATAAAATATTGCCTAAATAATCTTAGTTACCATTTATTTTTTATCTTTCTATTTTTTAATAATAATATTTAGTAAGAAAGATTGTTTTTGTTTCTTTAATTTTATGAATCGAAAACTTAGCAATTATATATTTTTTTCTTTTTTGCTTTTATTTGTTTTTATTTAATACATCATACAATTTTATATTCATGTTTATTTATTATTTATTCATGTTTATTTGTGAATAGAATTATTTATTTGTTATTCTTATTAAATAAAATATAATAAATATATATAAAATAAAATATAATAAAAAAATATATTCAGAAAAATTATTAGAATTATAAAAGAATCAGAAAAAAAGAATAAGAGATAGTCAAAAAAGAATGAAATTATATATATAATATTATGATTCAGTAATGATTCATTAATAGAATTCTATGTATGCATTTTTTGAATATCATCAGAAATAAATAGAATTAAAAATAACAACTATAAATAAATTTTATTACAAATTGCATAAATATTTAATCAATGCACAAGACTTTTTATTTGTTATATCATATATTTAAAAATAAAACATTTTGTTTTGTAAAAAATATTATAACAAAATAATTTTATATGTTTTATAGGTTGGTGGACATACAAGATTACTTTTATTAAACCAAAATACTATTTGTAAACCATTAAACTGTAGAGAACTTGATTTTTATCAAAACATTCCACAAGATATTCAAGTTTTTGTTCCAAAATTTAAAGGTAAGATAATTTTATTATTTTTTATTTCTTTCTTTTTCATTTTTTTTATCTTCTAATATATTTTTTTATTGATATTTTTTTTTAATTAATTATATTGATATCGATTGAAAGGATTAAATAATCAAAATTTTTTTATCCAGGTGTTTTGCAAGCTTCCAATAGTGGTGAAGTTACATTAGATAAACGTTACAGTCCTAGTTTTAGAGAACATGATAATAGACAAGGACATAATTCAAGTAAAAGAAAAAGAGAAGATGTATTAAGGTATGAATATATTTGAATGTTTTTATATTAAAGTCACATTAAATTAATTAATGCATAAATATTTTATTTTATAAAGATTAAAAATAATAAATTTTAATTATTAATTTTTTTGTATTAGAATGAAAATTCATCATGATAACACATTAGCAGGAATATTAAAACCAGGAATGCATTTGGACAATGCATCAAACAAACAATGTATGTATGTAAACATTAAATAATATTTTTGTATAAGAAAGTTATACAAAATTAACATTTTTTATATAAGAAAAAAATAATATAAGAATTGTAATATATATGATTAATAATTTTTTCTATAATAATTGATAATTTTAATAATTGAAAAGAAATGATTGGTAATTTTTTTTTTTTTTTTTTGTTTTCTTGAACTAAAAGATTTCCTTTTATTGGAAAATATAACATCACAATATACTCATCCATGTATATTGGACCTGAAAATGGGAACCAGACAACATGGTGATGATGCATCTGTTGAAAAACGTAATAAACAAATTGCAAAATGTGCTGCTAGTACATCAGCTTCATTAGGTGTTAGATTGTGTGGAATGCAGGTTCGTGATATATAATATAATATTGAAATGATATATAATATTTTTATATTGAAGTCTGTATAATATTATAATATTAATAATGAAAGTAATAGTAGCAGTAACTTTATAAAATTTTATAGTAAGATATTACAAATGTGATACATAAGTGATATATATTATAGGTTTATCAAGCCAATACCAATCATTATGTGAAAAGGGATAAATATTGGGGTAGAGCGTTAAATGAAGAAGGTTTTAAAGCAGCATTGTATCGTTTTTTTCACAATGGCTTTTGTTTACGAACGTTAGTTATCGAAAAAGTGGTATCACGATTAGAACAATTACGACGTGCAATAGAGAGACAAAGCAGCTATCGATTTTATTCGTGGTAATTTTTCGTTGGAATATTTTCAAGAACACTATTATTTAGGAGTTAAAAAGAAAAGTACTCAATTGCTTTTAATATTCAAATTTTTTATTACGAATATTATATTAAAAATGTCAGAAATTCATATGCTCCGTATTAAATTTGTTTTAGTTCATTATTAGTCGTTTATGAAGGTTGTCAAATGGATTTTTCGGGGTTCGGTCATTCATCGTCTTTATTACAAATGGACGAAGATTCAACAAATTCTAGTTCTATTAGTGATGACGGTCCTCATACTTCGGATAGCTGTTACGATGGTGACATAAGTAACAGTTCCACAGATTATAATCTTTCAATCGAAGAAGAAATCGGTCAAACGAGTACTTTACACAGAGGATTTGGGAAGGCAACAACTCGAGAGGCCAAACGTATCGCCAGATTTTATCCTACAAGGTTTGTAATTGATATTTTTTTTTCAATCATTAGCGGGTAAACATTGTTGTTAACATTTTTAGATAAAAAAATATTGATTGTTTCGTTTCGATTCGTAAATATTTGTAAATATCATATATTTAATATCAATATTAAATTTATACATATTAATAGATTATAATAATAAAATAGATTTAAAAATAAATTGTATACATAATCTTCTTTAAAATTATATGGATTAATATGAACAAATAAATATGATATATTTCAATATTTTACAATGCAAAACGATTCGATACGGAAAGATCTGAATTAAATTCCTAACGTTGTGATTTCGTCAAAAATTTATAGCAAAATATAATTTCAGGTGTAAATCTTCGTTTACATTTTTTTACGTTTTATACATTATTTATGAAATAATTTATTTAGTTATATTTTTATTTATATTTATTATATTTTATACATATATATGTACATTATTTTGATGTATTACAACAATAGGAATCTAACAAATATTTCTTTTTCTTTTTCTTTTAAATATTATAATTAGATGATAATTGCACATATCAATATAAACAATTTAATACATTTAACCCTCCGATATATTTAAATAGAAATCGGAATGCACAATCTGGTGAAGTATGTATGTATAAGGTATATCATGCGTATATTTTTTAGTAATTCGTCCGAATCTACGTATTATATGTATGTGTACTATATTCTTTTTTCTTTTCTTTTTTTTTCTTTTTTTCTTTCTTTTTTGTGTATATGTTTTCTTTCTTTAAATAAATCATTTATCATAATTTTTATCTTCTACTAAAGTAATCGAACAAGATAAATTACATTTGATAAAATTTAAAATAATTGTATATATCGAGATGTTCATATATTAATATTCATTTTCAAATTGAAAATATAACATACTCCATCAGAAAATTGGAGGGTTAGTTATTACGACGATTTCAATATATATTCAAATTATTTATTTCAATTATATTTTGTTAAAAACCGGTTTAGAGAAAATATCGCATTTTCAGTCCCTTAGTGTATTGATACTCACAATAATTAAAAATTATTCTACGTAATATAGCATTATAAATATTTCTTAGAGTAGGTATATACATTTTACATTAGTTTTTATACATTGTACAATTTTTTTAATCAAATAAACAATGACTCTTTTACAAATAATCGCTATATTGTATATATTATAGATTCGAAAATTTATTACTTGTAATTTGAAACAAAAATTAATGGTTCTTTATTAATTTTTTATTAATAATTTATATATATATATTTTATTACATATTACTTATATATGTATATGTATGTATAACTTTAAATAAATAACTTAAAATTAAATATATGTATGTATGTATATATATAGAAAATATTGAACAAACATAAGAGAAATTTTCATTATATTTGCTCAGACTAAGAAGTATTTATTTACAATAATAATTATATAATTGATTTAACTGGTATAAACAATTTGCTCTATTTACATTTTTCTCTAGGAATCAAGGAAGGATAAAAATCATAACTTATTTTCCATCGAATCATTACACTAAAAAACTGATATTGCGATATTTTCGTAATTTAAGCATGTATATTTCTGTGTACCATCACTTTTTAGAAAACTGCTCTTTATTACGGCCGAACTATAATAAAGCGCGGCAATACCAGTCCCTAATCGAGCCCAGTTTCTTACTAGGGGAGGATCAAAGCTGAAAGTGGTGGATTTCAAAATCCTTTCGTAGGTATATTGTTGCTCAAGTGTAGAGTACAGCTCTACAAAAGTTATTAGGTGCAAATATTTCTGCACTAAAATGAAAAAAAAGTTAAAGGGACATTTACATTATATCATGCGTATGCGCATATATGTATGTGTATGTGTATATGTATCTGTATATGTCCTGCATATGTATATGTATATATGTATTTATGAAAAATATTTTATATTTTGTAAGATGTATATTATATGTATTGATAAAGGAATAGTTAGGGAAAGAAACATGAATAGAGCTGTTTCTTTGCAATTTAAATTTAATATATAACGATCACATATATTTTAAAAAATATATTTATAAAAAAAAGTATATAAACGCGAGATATTTCAAAATTATTTTGTTATTTTCATTATTTGATAAATGAAGGATACGAGTTATTAATTGAAATTGTGAATATAAAAAATTAATGTTTATATATACTTAATCGATTTTATTTTTATTTTTTTAAAGGAATATTATATTTTTTTTATTAGTTTATATAAATGTTGTATTTTCAGATCTTATATATGTATGTATACGCAACATATATAGATATACATGTATGCATACATCTGCAAATGTGCGTGCGTGTATGTATATCTATTTTTTATCACTCATTGAATGTATATTTTTTAATTTAATTAATAATTTAACTCGATTAATCTTATGCAATAAACGAAATTAGGCATACATGACGTTTAGTAAGTGGTGAATTTTGTTATATTGAAAATATATTTATACAAATTATTTGTTTATCTTTTTAAGTTTGATGTATATGCATATGTGTATATTAATATATATATATGTATATTAACATGTATACATTTTTATTTTATGACACAAATTAAAAAAGATAAATTGTTAATATATGTATAGAGTAATAAGTGAGTAAAAAAGTATAAGTAAAATAATAAAATTTAAAAAAAATAATAAATTATATAATATTTATTATTAATAAATTATAATATTATATAATATTACCATTTAATTAACCTTTTTATAAAATTTTCTTTGTAAAGCGAAAATCTATATGTTATAGGTTAAATATAAAAGACTGTAGGATAGCTATAAATATTTTTCACGAAAAGAGCGAATTATGTATTCACTTTAAAGGTTTTGTATATTTATCATAATATATAATATTAATAATTTATAGATGATTAATATTTAATAAAGAAAAATATTTGAAACGATGAAATATATTTAAAATAAATATTTGCATATTCATTAGGCTTATAATATTATTAAGATATTTGAATCGCATATATTAAAACAAAATTTTTGTTTGTATCATAAAATAAGAAAAAAAATTTTTTGAAGAGAATTTCGCCATTTACTTTGCATCCTGTATACGAGATATAAACATTCTCTTTTACTCGAAATATATGACCCACAGGGCCTGCATGCCCGCTATGGTCTGGGCAGTAAAAGGGTTAATAGATGGTAAGAGGTCATACATTGTACCATGTGAAATCTAATGACAGGGCTGTGTGAAAACTTCGTTGTATCTCATTGATTAAAATGGAAAACGTATTAAAAATTTAAGAGATCGAATCATGATTAAATGAAATCAATGAAATTTTAAATTAAATGATAAAATTCCAGATGTTATTCATAAAATTAAGATTTTATCTTATTTCAAGCATTTCTACCTTAAATATGTACCTAAGTATCTATATATAAGAAATGTATATGTATATAAGAAAATTTTATGATGTATCTAATAAGTTAATTTGCGTTTTAATTGTCATTATTTTTCAATACGATACATATTACGTACATATGCATGAAAAAAAATTGAAATAATAGTAAGTATATATGTAAACGTATATCTATAAGTAGTGGAAATTATACATAACGTTTGTTACATTAAATATATTAAATTCATTTAATTAAGGAACGTTAATAGAATTACTCTTTATTACATTTATTATATTAAATCTGGTAATTTTAGAACAGAAAGTCAATAAAAAAAATAAATATTTTTATGCATTTATTATATATCGCATGTTCTCTGCCGAGACATTTCGAACTTTTTGCGCGGCCCATAAATAAATCTTTTACATGTTAATATTCGATAATATCTGAAGAGAAGGAAATAAACCAAGCAATAATAGTTAATAATGCATTCTATGCGATGACCAACTGACAATCCCAGCAGTGAGGAGACAGTTTTCGTTGGATCTACGGACAGCTTGATCGACAGGATGCTCCAATCTCCCAGATACGAACAATGGATGGTTTATGGCACTTCGAGCGATGAATATTGTTTTGGACAAAGTTCGGATAATGATACGCAAGATGCTAATTCTGATATTGAAATTAGATCTGATCCTGGAATAAAGCGACAAAAACATGGACATGAATTATTTCATATTTACGAAAGAGAAAAGAGAATAGAGAAAGAACTCAAATGTGCCAATATGTCGAACAGATATTCGTAAGTAATTTTGCTATAAAAAAAAAAAGAAAAAAAAACTATTTGACACGTATCTGAAACTATTAAACCGATAATTAAAAAAGAAATAATATTTTAATTAAAAAAACAGGTACACATCTTATCCTTATCAAATGAAAAAAATGAAACAGAAATCTCAGGATGCATTGGTCGACGTAAGGATCATTGATTTTGCGCACACGACCTTTGTTCACGGTTCTAGCATGCCTTGTAACTCGGCTCACGCTCCTATGGTACATCAAGGTCCAGATTGTGGTTTTCTAACCGGTCTGGATAGTTTAAAGCGACTTCTACTTGAAATTTTAACTGAAGGTTAATTGCTAAGAATTTGTTATAAATTTCTCTGTATACATATAAAGAACGATACATAAAAAGGAAGAATCGACGAAGAATTTTTAATTTATATTAAAAACATTGATGACAAAACTCTGATTATCTTATTAAATGTGATTGATTTCTGTGAAACAAATCTGTACATATGTATTTTGAATGTATGATTTTACATAGCAAAATTTTACTAAATGTACCAGTGAGTATATGTGAGAAATTTATGAGTCTGTATTGAAATATGTGAATGTGAATTGCATATAAAAAGTATTATTTAATTCATATATTCATGAATATATATATCTACATATACATATATATATACATATATATATATATACATATATATGTATATATGTATATATATGTATATGTGTATGTATGTATATATATATATGTACATAGCTTGTACATTACGCGAGAACCGTTGTCGGTTATTATATGTACATATGATTCTTAATATAAAAATATTCGAAAGAAATATTTTTAAGAAACAATGTATTTATATATTTTTTCCCTTTTAGATTTATCAATTTAAATCATAGTATAATTCATAGATCATTCAATAATCTGTTAGACTTATACATATAAGAACATATAAATATTTTTTACAAAATACATAGGATGACAAATAATTTAAATGATTTGACCACATATGAAAAATATATGTAGCTAATTTATATACAATAATATATACGATACATTCTTCAATTTATTTGTTGAATTATTTTCATCAAATTAAAGTAATCTAAAGCAATTAACAATATGTAAGATGCAAATTTTTTTTCCACATGGATGCATGCGAGATTTTTTGATTTTTTAAAATATTTTTTAAATCGATCGATTATACATAGATTTAAGTGGCCTTTCTTCTTTTCCCCACTTAGTGCACGTATCGATCTTCTTGAAGGTAACGAAGTTGAATTACTCCTAGGAGACCATTGCCTGGTACTAAATCGTATCCAGTTATCGATGAAACGCGAAAGGAAAACGGTAATGCGCGTCACGCTCGTTTACGATTGTTAAATGAAATAAAGCTTCATAGTTATATGTGAAATTAATTGTTCTTATAGGATATTTACCAACTATTCGGATAAACACCTGCATTTATTTTGTGCACTCGAATTATCTCAATTTTTGAAAAACTTTCTTGAATAATTTTCAGGAATAATATTTTTTTTCTGTAAATGTAAAGAAATCGAAAAAAATCGAATTTATGTTTCCATTCCGTTTTTTTATTTTTTTTTTTTCTCTCTTGAAATAAATAAAATAAATAAATGATTAAGAAAGTAATTAATTATTAATAACGGTACACGAACCGTTACTTGATCTTAGTGCATAACGTTTTAAAAATTACAAAACGGACGATATGATATGAAATATTGAAAATATAAAATATTTTTAAATAATCAAAATTAAATAATCAAGTAACATTGCAAAAGAAAAAAAAAAAAGGATGTTGAATGAATCTCTGTCGAAGGATGAAGATGTGTGTAAAGAAAAGAGGAAGAGAATCGAAGTGGGGAGATGGTGGTTTTAATTTTAATGGAACATAATTGCTGTGTTAATGTATAACTATTGACTGTATACAACATGCAGTTTTATTCGACTACTTATGTATGTATGTATACCAAGCGCGGCACGCGTAACATTCGCTTCGATTCTTCTCAGTATGCGGTATATTACTAATACATGCATGTACAATAATGTGTATACTGTTTCTTATGACTAGACAAGTCATAAGCGTGACTGATCGTACTCTCGTTCGCGATCGAAGTCGAGAGCGAACGAATTTTAAACGAAACTTTACATTATAAAAAATTAAGAAAAAAAAAAATATATATATACATATATCCACGCTCGAGAAGTGTAAATATCGAAAGGGGAAGATGAAAATGATTGAAACATTGATCGTATCGATAATACAATAAAAATTATATTAAAACAAAAAAAAAAATAGATCGAAAGATGGTGTATGATCCGGTGTCTGAAGAACAGAAGAAACAATTTTTTAGACAGTGTTATGCCGCTCATTTACCTGGGTAAGATTTGATAGGTAGATAGACACGCGTACTTGCGAGAATATTACCGATGTTTAAATGGATATTCGATTACATGTTGTAATTTAATCGTTTTTTTTTTTTTTTTCATCTTGTTCGCGAACCGAGATAGGTTCAAATTTCTTGCTGTGCGGCAAACACTTGCATTGGTATTGAACAGTATTAATTGAATTTGCAACGTTGATTGTTAACGCTAAATATTTTCTAGTAGCACCGTTTATTTTTGATTGCGTAACGTAAGCGAATACAATACGTGCACACAATACACGGGCTAGCACGGGCTTTTAAGGTCTAGAGAGATTGATTTTTGAAGTACCATGTTGGAACGGTTTTTCAATTGTTGTTAATAATCAGATGCCTAGATAAGAGACTAAAGGAACGGATGTCGGGAAAAAAATCGAATGTGAGTTTAGTAGTTTTGTTTGGAATAATCGAATCGAATACACGGTAGGTAATCAAATAGTTTAACATGTAAAACCTTGAGCGCATCTTTTTTTATCATGTATATACGTATGATTAATAATTAATAATAAGTATATTATTACACTTTTATCCGTGTATCGATTTTAACGATAATTTCTATAATAAAATCATGATATTATATATTGGATAACAAAAAGAAAAAAGATCTTGTGAAATATTTCGATAATATTAATGTCATAAAAATTTGATGGTCAACTCAAACGAATAAATCGATATGCATAAATAATTCTCGTATTTGATCGATAGAATTAAATATTTAATGTGTAATGTGAAATATGACCAATAGATCTGCGCGCGAAACTATTTTTTAAACAAGTTGAGTCATATAGTCAAGTTATTGTTAACTATAGTAAACTTTGGTTTTGCATTTCTTCTTTCTGTCGCCTACTGCACTGTTTAACTTATCCATATAAGTTCCGATTAATTTGCATACTTTACATATCTATTGATCGATTCAAAGAAAAACTTTCATTCAGAAATTTAAAATGAATAAAAATTAATTCAATTTATATTCATATTATATATTATATTCATTATATATTCATATTTATTTTCATTATATATTCATTACATTCATAAATTGTTAAATGAAAGAAGTCATTAAAAAAACAATGTATCAGTAAGAAAAAAATAGTTGTTAAATTATTTGATCTAAAAATATTAATATATTTTAAAAAGAAGAGAATTAATTGAAAAATTTAATTAAAAATATCTAAACTATTTTGTTTATGTTTTTTGTAATGTTTGTTAGAATAAACAAAATTTTACTCTAATGTTTTCAATGGAACACATGCGCATGCGCGCTTAATGAATAAGCGCGAAAAGTTAAACTATTACGTTTAACTTATCCATACAGCCATCGGCTGTTATTTTTTTCACTGAATAATATTTTTATTCATTATTTGATCGATATCGTTTTTTCTATAATTCTATTACAATTATTTTATCTACAATTTCGGATCAATGGAAATCACGCGGTTGTTTCATTTAATTCTATTTTATTTTTTTCAGTTATACAGGACACTGTCCCACTCTTAGATTTCGAGTTGGAAAACGATTTGGAGCATGCACTCAAGAAATTATGAAGGTAAGAGTATGCAAATATTAACGATCCGATTTCGCATTGACAAAAGAAAACAAAAATCAAGAAAAAAATACAAAAAATAATGGTGGAAATTATTCACTTGTAAAATTAATCAAAACTTCCACGAGCATATTGCATCATACAGGAATTACTTGAAAAGAAAATTCTCAAGACAGGACCTTACAGACCCAATTGTGAAAAAGATATGCGCGAAAACACGACGATTCTTTGTGAAAAAGATACAAACACAGATTGGAAAAATGAAAGGCATCTCTTAAAACCTCCTCCTCCATATATCTTAGGATATACTGGTAAATAGATATAGATCTGATCTTTATTGAGTTAAAATTAATACTAAAATTAAGAAATCATATAATATATATATTGTACATACAATATATATATAATACATATTGAAAGTAAATTAATTAAAATATTTAATTATTTCATTGTAGGGTATATTCCTGGTTTTAATACTAGATATGGTCTATCTTTTATGCGAGCAGTGGAAGAAGGTACTAGAGAATGGCGTGAAAATCAAATTAAATTAAAAGCTCGTAGAGATCTTACACAAACTACAGAGAGAAACGCTATCTCTAGAAATCTTTTATTACAAACTCGAGCTGATATAAATGTTCTAACTGATCGCGATAATGATAAAAATCGACTAACTACGTTTCGTATGTATTATTTGTAGTTATATTATACGATTATGTTTTTGCAATTTTCAATGAATTTAATAAATAATAAAAAATTAAGCAAATAGCAAAGAATTTAATTAAACTTAATATTGTTTACAGATTATGAAATTTCTCCCGAAAGACCACCAATCGTAGGTTATACTGGCCATATTCCGGGTGTCAAAGGAGAAGTTGCGCTTTCGAAAAGATACGCACAAGCTGCCAAAAAAGGATTGGAATTAGTACGAAAGGAACGTGAACAAAGAGTTGGTAAATTAACGGATGCTAATAGTGTAGAAAAAGTTTTAAATGTGGCTCGTTTAAACTGACCTAACGAGATCGAATCTGATCTCCACTGAAATTTCTCGAATTTCAATTTTTCCTTAACAGAATAATATTTAATATGTCTCGAATTTCAATTTTTTCTTAATAGAATAATATTTAATATATGCATAAATTAACAATCTTTTTTAATAATAATCTCTACTTGACTAGAATTATTCCATTAGATATAATTTATGTTTCTAATTTCAATTTTTAATCAATTTCACGCTGCCGATAAGGGATAAATATCCAAATAAAATTATCAACAGCTTTTATCTTGGCTTCTTTTTTTCTTTTCTTTCTTATAGTAAAAAATAAATCATATATACTGTATCTTTCATAATATTCTTATTAACATTTTACATGAAATAAGTGACTTCTAATCTTTCCTTGGTAATTATAATATATTAATTATAATAATGTTTAATATCAAAACAAAGACAAATTGACATTTTTAGTAATATAAATAATTAATCGAGAAATTCTTGAAAATATTTCGAAATTGATAATATTTTTTAAGAATCAACTATGAAAATAAAAATAATGCTATTTCCATTTTCCAAAGAAGGAAATATTATCTTAAATATACATAGTATATGATGAATAAAGCAAAATGGAATTTAGCAAATACATAAATTAATAATATATACATAAATATTAGTTTTTATAATATACATTCTAATATTATTTTTTAGATATGTATTAGCAAATAGTTTACATAATTCAAGATGATTCATGATTGATAGTGAATGATGATAAATTATTAGGCTGAAATTATTATTAATTATATTATTAAATAATAAAATTTTTAGTAAAAAATTTTTTATTAATATATTAATATATTAATATATAAAAAAAAATAATCTAGGATTATACATAATTTTTTAATTTTCAATTGAATTAAATTTATTTTTTTTCTGGTAATCTATTTAATCTTTCTATTTCCATTTGAACTGCTTTTTTCCAATATTCTATAGTTAAGGTATTTGATCCATATGATAAAGATAGTAATCTAGACAATACCATTAATGAGTGTAAATTATCAACATTTTTGTTTATTTGTTTCCATTGTACGAAATCATTTTGAATTTCCTAATGAAAAACAAAGACACATATCAAATATATATTTTTTTATGTATATATAATGAAATATTCAAAATATGGATAATTTTTAAAAGTTGAAACAATATTAATTACCTTTATAACGTCTTCATCATTTAATTCAAATTTCGTATCGCGTATTACTTCTAAATACTGTCGAATATTTATCAATCGACTTTCATCTCTTAAATATTGCTCCGCAATTTCTTTTACTTGAGAATATAAATTTTCCGATTCTGAATCTATTTTTAGAATTATTTGAGTTTGACACTAAAATGGATATATACTATTCATAATTAATCTAATTCATTCATAAATATTATATATAAATTATATATATTATTAATATTATATATAATATTATATAATTTTTTTCATACCGGAATAAAAGATTTAGCTTCTGATAAAATTAATACTGGAATATCAGTTTCATATTCTATTTTATAAAATTTAAAATCATATGTCACTTTTTGAAAGTTAATCAAATCGCAAATCGCATTGTAATTTTCTCTTCCAGCTTGTGTTATTTGACCAGTAGTTAATCCTGTTTCATCTATTATAAGATGTGTATTGTCGCTCAGTTGGAGAACTCCACTAGTTAGTCTATTACATTCATAATCTTTCCTAATAATAAAAAAAATATATCGTAAATTAAATAATATTAATTCTTATAAAAAAATTGTATTTAAATTAATATTTGCTTACTTTGGTATTAAATTCAAATCATTTAAATTCTCCAAAGTAATTTCCAATAAATGACTTTTCTTAACAAGTAAATTTAAAAATTTGTATAAATCTTTTGGAAATTCTTTATATTTAATCATAGGAAAATGTGTTATATTTAAGGGATAAGTACCAAGACAAAAGTAATCTCTTCTCATATAGCTAAAATAATGGTTTTAAAAATGTATTAATCAGATTTTTATCGTGAAATAATAAAAAAAATAATAAATAAAATATATTTACACTGAGGAAAGTAAATGACAGATTAAATAATCTGCAGCTAAGTGATCTCCAAACAGAAGCTCACTTAATATTAAATGAAGATCGTTTCTTATTAACTCTGCTTTGGACATTACTTCTGAGACAATTTTTATGTCTTGTTTAATTGGTTGGATTATTTTTATAGCATGTAATCGTGGAACAAGAGATGCAGGTGGATGATGAACAGTTATTTCAGCTTCTGTCATAGTCTCATCTGAATGAACAATATTTAAAAAAGGATCCAAAGATATAAAACCTATTATTTCAATAATTTGATTCAGCTTTAAAGTCATATCTTCATATATCTGTAATTTAATATAGAAAAATATAAATTATATGACAGCAAATTTCATATGTAATTTATATAACATAAAAATTGTTAATATTATATGAAGTATAAATATTAAAAATTCATTAATAACCTTTACAATACAAGCTTTACCATCATTTATAGGAATAGGAAAATTTAATATATAATCTTCTGAAACTAAACATTGCCTTGTATCATATTCTATTTTCTTATTATCGTCAATTTTTTCTTTCTTTCGTACTGACTCTGAACAGTCCATAGGTTCACAGTTATCTTCATCTAAATTTCTTTTATACCTATTAATTAATTTTGAATAATGTAATTGCTTGTATGTTTTCTTTACCCAATCATTTAAACCTGGAATTGATATTACAATACATGTGTGTCTTTCTGAATTTTGGTTCTTTTCTGATTCCAACAAAATTGTTTCATGTGGCTAAAAAACACATACAATAAAATTATTAAATTTCAAATAAAAAGATATTAAAAATATGTGTATTATATAATTCTTAAATATTTATATAAAATAATAATGTAGGCAGTTGTATACATGAAATAAGCTGTTCTTTTCGCATTTCACACCTGAAACTACCATATATTTACTATAAGCCTCATTGATATACATCCATATAATTTTAATTTTAATATGGACAAAAGAATATATTGAAGGGCCTTATGAAATAAAATTTTAATTAAATAATTACCAAACATTTTGCTGTATCTATGTACATCCCAGACTTCAGCTCAAATGTTTCAGTTTGGTTATTCTTCACTTCATATTGTTGTAAGTAATATTCAGGATCATGCATATCTTGAATCATCCCTTTAAATCTGACTAATTGTTTATCTTTGAATTCATGAAGGGGAACATTATTTAGTAATGGAATTTCATTTAAAGTATCTAAATTTTCTAAAATCACATTACAATTTGATCGATTTGCAATAAAGTAATCAGGTGTCCAATCCGTTATTTTAAGTGAAGCTAAAATAAAATATTAATACTTAATATTCTTAATATTTATTTTTTGATTAATTTTATTCAACAATGATTTAATAATAGCATAGTACTTTAATAAAAAAGCATACTTACAAATCATTATAAAGTTATAACACAAATATCAAATCTCTACTAAAATCAATTATAAAGTAACCTCGAAAAATCTTATTAAATAGAAAGAAAATATATTAAAGAAATAAAAAAATCGCAAAAATATAAATATCCACTAAGTACAATTAAACATTTTCGATTATTCATAAACAAAATATTTAAATAAAAAATTTATACATAAAATACTCTTTTAGATATCTATATACAGAAGTATAGTAATTAGTAGCGCTTTTCCTTTAAAAAGAAAACTTATGTGTAAATTTAACAGATATATTAGAGCATTATATTAGAGCCATCTTTTGAGCATATAATTTTATATAGGCAAGAATAAATAGCAAAAGATAGAGATACGTTAAAAATCAGCGCCATCTTCAGAGTGCCGCAAATGAAATACAAATATAAACAGAAACAAAAGAAGGATATAGATAAAATAAAAATTGTTCATCAATGCCATTTCTTAAATGTCAAAAACATCTTTCTAAAAACGTTCAAAATATAGCGCTTATCTTCAATTATTATTCCATCAGATTTAATCAAAGAATAAATGTTATCTGATTTAAATTATCTTTGACATTCGAGAGATAGTATTAGTATTAATTCTTATCCTATCTTTATCCTTCTTTTATTATTTACTCTTTTTATGTATATTTATATTTTGTTTGCTATACTTCGGAAATGACGTTAATTTCAAAATTTTTTAATCTCTATTCTTTTTTCATTATTATCTTCCTATATTTACTTACAATATATTTACTTAATTATAAACGGGATACAAGGTATCAATTATATGCATTTTCTTTTTATAAAATATTATAATTTTTAAAGTAAAAAATATAGATACAGATATTCTTATTTTAGAATATACATCCAAAACAGTGATTTTGTAAAATGTAATTAATATTAATATTAATATAATTACGAAATAATTTACAATTAACAAAATTAATTTAATATTAATTTACAATTGATAATAATTAATTATTAACTGATATTAATTAAGTTAGTAGTTATACAATAAATTTTAATAATTTTCTTAAGATTATTGATTAATTGCAAAAATCACCGTTGTCAAATTCTTAATCAGAAAATAATTCATTAACGTTTCTTTTTTAATATTTTTGTATATTGACTATTAGAATTTCGAGCTAACTGATATGCTGTCTTTCCAGCATAGTTTTTTGTATTTAAACAAGTCTTGCTTTTTTGAAGAAGAAGCGTAATTATTGATTCATATCCTCGTTCTATAGCTAGATGAAGAGCAGTCCTTCCTGTTAAACCCTCCCTGGCTTCAATATTCGCACCATGATCTATCAGAAGTCGTACAAGCTCTATATAATTCGATGAAACGGCAATGTGCATACACATTTGTCCTGTAACATAAGATATTTTATATTAATATATGATGATATTTAAATTAACATTCATAATAATATGACAATATATATAATTCATTTAATATTTTAAATGAATGTTTTATTTGAAGCAATGTTTAACAAAAAAAAAAAAAGACTAGAATAATAAAACAAAAAGTTGATCAATTACCGTCGTAATTCCGTAATTCAAGATTTTGAGGTAAGATGGGTACTTTCATTCCAGGACGAAGATAATAATATTCACTAGAATTTAAAGGACTAACGAGGGCAAATGTCGATTGAAAATCACCGATCGAACATGACAAATGAAGAGGTGTATTTCCACGAAAATTCCTCACTTCTGGATTTGCACCTGCCAGAATTAATTCTCTAATAATCCTCGGTTGCTTTGCCAGTACGGCCAGGTGTAAAGGTGATTGACCATCACTATTCAAAACATTTAAAAACTCAATTTCTAGTGTCGTTCTTATCATAGCACACGCAGACTCTACAAAACCTTGCGTTATGGTCCAATGAAGTAGTCTGAAAAAAAGACGAATTATTAAAAATTACAAATTTTTTTTTTCATTTATAGTTGATAATTAAAATATTGATTACATATAATGATATTTTGTTATTAATTGATAAAAACAATGATATCATCGTATGTGATTTCCCATGTAATTATAAAAAATATAATCAAATCTTAATTTATTTATTTTTATTTATTTACTTTATTTATTTAATTCTATTAACTTTCTCGATTTTTTTTTTTAGCATCAATTAATAATAATAAAATTTAATCTGTTCTATTTAAATTTTCATTATCCACAACAATTGATAAATGAAACTAGTGATAAATGAAACATGATATCAAAATATTAAAAAGATATAATTTTTGAACTAATTGATTCCTAAATTTAAAATTAATATAGATTCTGTTCATGAAATATTTTTATAAATCAAAAAAATAATTCTAAGTCCTTCTTTGATAATTCTTTGATAATTTTTTGATAATTTTTCAACTATAAATTATTGTGTTATATTGAATACTTACGGATCACCTTTAAGAGTCTGTACATAATTACTCTGCCATAATTCATTTAATATAACTTGCTCATGTTCATATTGCTTTGTATCTTCAATTCTATTTCTCGTAAATGTTTCGAAAACAGGTTCACTTATTTCATTATTTACTACTTGATTTAAATCTTCATTTAAGTCAACATTTGTATTATATATATTTATATTATATATTGGTGATTGATAATTATATTGCGGATCAGTTTGGAAATTTTCATATGTAGGATGCATGCAGTTTGAATAATAATTTTCGTATATTTCTTGTTGTGGATAGTAATAATAATTTAACGGTACCCATTCTAAATATCCATTCCACATCTTTGTTTTTTATTAATATTCAATCACTATATGAAATTCACTTTTTTTCGTGATAAATACACTCGTAATAAATACAAATACTCGTGATAAATACAAACACTATATTTATACTTTTTTAAAATTTCGATGTTACGTATCTTTTCAAAGGAATAGTTAGAATCGATCTTTATAATTTCTTTTGATTTTTTTTTTTTTTTGAATAAAAATATCTTTATCTTTATTTTATCCGTTCACAATTATATTTTACCTTAGAAATAAAAATTTTTTTAATGACAGAGATTGTATAAATAAGAATTTGCTTATTCAACGAAAAAACAAAATAATTGTGTCAACTTTACTAAACTTGTACAAAAACTCTGCTCAATGCGCTTCCTGAAGACGAACTAATCGAATATAAACTGACGCGCCAAATATTTTAGGATGGTAATGTCCTAGACATGAGTAGAGAGGGAAAGTAAAATCCATGGGAATAGGAAAATCCATTACTTTCAGGTAGTAGTAATACATATAAAAAGAAATCTTTATAAATCATCTTTTCAAATTGTTTAAAAGATAAAAAGCTTTATTCTATTCTAAATTTATTTAAAATTTTCAATTTTCTTCTAAAATAAAGAGTTTTTTTAATTAATTTCTAGTTTAAATTTTAACTTAAAAAATATTCAAAAATTCTGAAAATTTCATTTCATAAGTTTTTGGAAATCGGAAAAAGGTAAGTATACCTGAATGTATTGTAAGGTTTTGACAAATAATCAAGGAAAGTCATATACTTTTCTTCTAATAAATTAAAAGAACCGTTATAAATAACCGTTATAAATGAACCGTTGTAAATCCTTTGGAAAATCTACATAAATATTATGATTATTGAAAATTTATAAAAAAAATTTATTATGATTAATGAATATTACTCATTAATTATATTAAATTAATATTCATTAATTAATTTATTTATATATATATATTAATGCTTTGAGAAAAAAATTGAAAATAATTTAGAACATGATTTTGCTTGAAATACTTAGTTTTCGTTATAATAAAATTTTATTGTATTGTATTGTAATAAAAGAGATTAGAGTGAAGAGAGTGAGAGAGTGAGAGTGAAAGTGAGTGAGTGAGAAAGTGAGTGAGTGAGTGAGTGAGTGAGTGAGTGAGTGAGTGAGTGAAAGAAAGAGAGAGAGAGAGAGAGAGAGAGAGAGAGAATAAAAAGTTTCTATATAGAATTTATATATACTTTGTTCACAATTGTAAAAAATCATTTTTTATAATTAATTTTTAGTATCACAAAAAAATTTAATTATAATTTCAATTAAACTAAACATTATCAAAATTATTCTTATTCTATATTGCATTGATAATTTTCATGATAAAAAAAAATTGATTTTATTTTTCATATAAAAAAAAAATGCATATTATAAGTATTCTATAATTATAATTCGTCTATGAACTTCACAAATTACAATATGATTGGATATCTAGAAACATCATAAATCATGAATGCCGGTAACGGTAGTCCTAATAATTGTCATTGTAAGTTTAGACGCACGTGCAAAAGATATGATTTTATAATTATAATAACATAACTTATATATATTAGATACTTTAAATTCAATCATGCCAGATTTATTTGAAGTAATTGTAGGAACGTATGAGCAATATTTGCTCGGTTACAAAGTAAATAATGTCGTTAATGTAAGTAAGAATATGTTTCTCTTTATTATTTAATTGTAGGTTAAAATTGTAAAAGAGTTCGATGTTTAAATACGGTTTTAAAATGAATTACTTGATCTGACAGATATATACCAATATTTTTTATAAATATATATATTATAAAGTTAGTCAATAATAATTTTTTATCATATATTATATATTGGAAAAATCTCAATTTATTTGTAATGAATATTTTATAAACTTAATGATTGAAAGTTAATTCTAATTATTCAATTGTTTATATATATATATTTTATATTTTTTTTACCTATATAAGATAATTATATTTTGTTCAAATAAATTATTCTTAAAATAAGATATTTTTTGTTTATTCGTGTAATTTTACATAAAAATTATTATAGCAAAAACATTAAATTATTATATTTTTCAATTAAAATGCAATATAATTGATATAACTTTTATATTTTTTTATATTTTTTTTAATTTCATATATTACATTTATTAAAAAGTTTGATAATTTTTCAGGAATATAAAATGGAAAAGACTTTCGCAACTCATAGTCATACGAGTAGTATACGTAGTGTTGCGAGTAATAAATATTATTTAGCTTCTGGTGGAGCAGATGATTCTGTTTATTTATATGATTTGCGTCATAGAGTAGAATCAGGTAGATTAATACATCATAATGGTAAGTATAATCTTATATAATTATTTTCTGTTCAATATGTATTAATTTTATATAAATATTACTTATATGTTTATGCAGATACCATTAATTGCATTGCATTTACACCTGAAGCATCTCATCTATTTTCATGTAGTAATGATGGAACTATAGCTGCAGTCCGATGTGGAAATTGGCAATTAGAAAAACATTGGCAAAAACCACATAAGGGTTTAGCAGTTAATACTTTAGCTATTCATCCAACAGGAAAAATAGCATTGTCTACTGGAGCAGATGGTATTCTTCGTACTTGGAATCTAGTTAAAGGAAGACAAGCATATGCTATAAATTTAGTACCAAGATTGAAATTAGATGCAAAAAATGTAAATGTTCTTAAATGGAGTCCTAATGGCGAAAAATATTTAATGGCTGTGAATCAAAAAATAGATGTATATTCTATAGAATTAGCAGGAATCGATACCGAAATTGAATTTGATTCAAAAATTGTTTGTGTAGAATTTTTACAAGATGATTTAATTGCTGTTGGCTTGGAAAATGGTCAAATTAAATTTTATGATCTTGAAAAATCCGTACAAACTGTAGAAGCGATTGCACATGATATAAGAGTGAAATGTATGGCTTTCAAGAAGGATTTATTAGTTACAGCTTGCAGTTCTGGAGAAATTAAACTATGGAAATATAGCAAAGACAAATTAAATATGATAAAAAAAGTTAATTGTGGTGCTCGAATTACCTGTTTGTCTCTTGCAATGTTATATGAAAATCTTTTGTTTGATAATAAATTATCAAAAGAGGAACAAAAAATACAAAAAAAAGAGAAATTTTCGTAAGTAATATTTTATTATTTTTCTTTTAAATTATGATTTTGCTTTATTTATCATTTATATTTTCTAAAACTATTTTAATTGATTAAAGAAGAATTTAAATATTGCCAAAAAAATGTAATATTCTATTAAGATAAAATAAATAGTCATAAATTTGAATTATTTTAATATTTCAAACATATCTTTATTACAAACATATTTATATATACATTCTTATATTTAGACTTCGGCAGAAAGTTATTATTGAGAACGAAAGTGATTTGGATGAAACAATTACAAATAATACTTCTCAATTACTGAAAAAAAAATTAAAAAAGAAAAGAAGTATAGAAGAGGTACAAAATCCAAATATTCCAAATAGAAAGAAGAACAAATCGATTGTAAAGAAGAAAAAGGCAGAAAATGATGTAATATTTGAGTTTACACCAAAAAAAAAAAGTAAATTGTCGAACAATAATGATGATTGCAATTATATTGATGATAAAAATAAAAAGAAAGAAACTTTTTCAAATAAGAAAAAAAAGAAACGCTTTATATCTTTAGAAGAAAATAATAATATACCTTCTAAAAAAACAAATTGTGAATTGACTGAAAAAATTTTGAAACGGGATAATATAACATTCAATCAATCAAAAATAAAATCGATAAAATCGAAAGAAAATGATGAAGTTTCTGTGAAAAAAAGAAAAAAGGAAATAATTGTAAAAGATAATGGAACGATTCTAAAGAAAAGAAAAAAAAAACAATGAAATAATGAATTATGCTGTTTCAATTTAAAGATATTATATTTGCATTCTGTATGTCATTTACAGAAAATAAATTTTACTATAGAAAATATCTAAAATATTAATTCATTTAAGTTAAACATTATTTTTTATAAATCAGTCAATTTTTAATTTTTAATGTTTGCGTATTTTTATTATAAATATTATATAATACGCAAGACTAGTAGAAAATAATGTTAAAAAAACAACAAGTTTTAAATAATGTTTGATTATATACTCCGCATAGATTAATTACCATAGAATACATTTACGAGATGGATTCATGGGACTTTCATTCGGGCAGTTCCATGCTTTTGCGAATTCCGCATTGTTCGATAAAGTTCCTATAACTCTGAAGTGATTTGGCGCATGAACTCCTTGTATCAATTTAGATTTTAATGCCCCATTTGTGTAATTCCCACACCAAACCTAAACAAATACATATCTATAAATATTTCTCATTGTATAAAATTATATAATTATATGTACATATAACATATTATATGTACTATATCATAAATATATGTATTTATGAAAAATATCAAATTTAATCATTTTGGAAAATTATTGTGTATATGAAGGTAGTATTTTAAATTCATGAATAATTCTTTTAATAAATGACAGAATATTTAAAAAAAAAAATTGTTATTTATTGTTATTATTTATAAATATACTTACTTGCGCAAAACCTATAAAAAATAATTGTTCTTGATTATAATTGGCAAGACCGGGTAAAACTAGTTGATCGGTATTTCTTTTTTGAAATCGTTGATATGCTCTGTAAGCTTCTCGTATACCACCGTTATCTGCTATATTCTCTCCTTGTGTATTAATACCATTTACCTAAAAAACATTAAATATTTCATTGAATAAGAAATATATGCATAAGAAAAAATAAATGTATTACTCATTTTGATATAAATATATTTGGTATATTTGGTATATTTTGATATAAATATATTTATTCCTTTTTATTTCTCAGAAGGACAGTGATACTCACTGTGAAATTATGACCCAATTCTGGCAAATGATAGTTACTGTATTGCTTGATTATACATTGGACTTTTTCATGATAATGTCGTAACGTCTGATTACTCCACCACTGTTTAATATTTCCATTCTCATCATATCTACGACCTATTGTGCATAATTTTATTTTTTTCTTATAAATTTTATCTTCTTGCAAGATTTATCTAATCGTTTACATTGATTATATTAGATATATTAGATTATATTAGATAGATATTAGAATTGATTATAATAGATACGCATGATACGTAAATTAATTTTCAATACATTACCTTGATCGTCAAATCCATGAGTTAATTCGTGACCCATGATTGCACCCATGGCGCCATAGTTGATAGACCTATAAAATATATTTTGTTATTTATGTATTCAAAATTTAATTGAGAACCATCAATCAATCATATTGATACATACTCTAAACCATTTCCATAGAAAGGAGGATGCAAAATACCAGCTGGAAAAGCTGTAAATTGAAAAAGCAAAGTAATAGATTATTGCAGAAATTGTAATATCCTATTACAAAATAATAGGATATTATTTAAAAAAATATTATTTAATACTTACTAACTGAATTTAATATTGCACTGTAAAACGCATTTACTGTTGTACCGGTCGATATCCATCGATTTTTGTTTGGCTTTTTACGCAAATTATTTAAACTTTTCTTAATTGCAACATCAGTTAGTATTAAAAATGTATCAAATAATCGTCCAGGTATAACATTCATCTGGAATAGAGATTTTTTAATCTTCTTAAGTTTTAATTTAATTGAGATATGAGTAAGTACTTACCTCTTCGTAAAATTTATTTAATTTTTCCGAATTAGTAATCCAATCCGGAATTCCTACAAACGGTCTAATCGCATGCAATTTTCTATGAGCTTGAACTTTCGTATCAGCATCCATCCAATCTAATTCGGCCACCATCTCATCAAATGCTGCCTTAATATCGAGCAACATTTCTAGAGCCTGTAAATCTGTTATCTTTTCTTTTTCTACTTTCCTCTATCATTTATATATATATATCAAAAATAAAAAAAATCGTGTCACACTAAACCTTTTGTCGAGATCGATCGTCAAAATATTTTTGCGCGTAAATGTAACTGAGAGCCATGCCAAAGTTCGCGTTTGCACTTAAAGTACAGGCTTTCCATCTCGATGTTTTCTCTTTTAAACCAAAAACTTTTTGCGAAAATTGAAAACCAAGATCACGGAATCGTTGTAACGTCAATGGAGAAATTCCTGCATAAGTAATCCACCATACGAATCGCACTGAAATATTTTAACTATTAATTATAATATCATTAATATAATTAATTATTGATATGATTCAAAATATAGCCATTTACATTTAAGATTTTACAATAAAATAATATATGTATACCTATTGTAGCGAATGGAGTGACTGTTAATAGTTTAGGTAATTCCTGCAGATATTTTAGATCCATTACAATTACACGATCCATTTTAATATCTATTGTCACGTTTGTATTATCAAAAACTGCTTCCAAGTATTTAGTCCAATTCCACTGAAATAAATCAATTAAAAAAAAATTAATAATTTATTTAATAATTTTTTGTTAATATATTATTCTTTATAATATACCTGTTGCGCATGCAAATCTGTCCATTGTTGTAGTTCGTCAATACTGAAATCGTAAATAAGATGATTTACACTCCGCCTTTCTTCCGGCGTCGCCATAATCTAAACGAATGAGTACAATTTGTAAGAATATTTATTTTTGCTTAAATTCAGTAAAATGAGCAAAATACTCACACGCGCGATATTTGTGGTAAAATTTAAAATTTCATTGGCAAATTCAACACTTTTATTCCCTACGCCTGCCAATTCGACCATATTTTTTATATAATTTTTATATTCCATTAACTCCGATCGAAAGCGCAACGGATCAAGAAGATAATGTTCGCTAAATCCTGGTGACACTTGTTCTATCTAAAATTACCTAGGTTAGTTGAAGGCTAGAATATTCAGAATCACGAAATTGGAATTCACGCAGTGTCTAATACGAGTGCATACATGTAATCAAAAGAATCATCGCTCCTATGGGCTTACCATTATCTTGTTTTTTGACGTGTCTTGTATATCTTCATTAATGTACAATTTGATAAAAAGGTTCAGTCCTAAAACTCGTTGCGCTCTTCCAACAATATATGAAATGTCCAAGGGCAATGTTTCATTTTTAAAAAGCGGATCTCTTGGTAATCCGAGCCTGTCTAACGTTTCATAGATAGGTTTCAATCCCATAGCTTCGACGCTTGCTAAAAATAACTCGTATTACATACTTAAATTCATTATTATTTGTACGAGTTTCCTCGTTTTGTAATTACCAGCATATTTTTCTTTCTTTTTTTTTTTTTTTTTTCTATTATTTATTTAGAATTATAATCGATCGGTTTTTTCTTACTTGTGTTCATACAAGTTTTGTATAAATCTCTAGCCAATTTAACCGGTCTCAAATTGTTTTCATCGTCTGATTCCTCGAGCAAAATTCTCAGATTTTCTAATAATCGTTCCCTGAGAAAGCTCAATTGATCCCAAGAAGTTTGACTCTGCGGTATAGGATTTTTTGAAACCCAACCGCTGCAAGCAAATTTGTAGAAATCTTGGCAAGGATCTACCGATCTGTTCATCGCATCTATTATTCTGGCGGCTGGAACGATCGATAAATTTTATTTTCATATTAAATGTAATTATCCGATTATCATTGTGAATAGACGCAAGATCAATATGAATATAAATTATCCTTATGTAAGGATAATTCAAATTGAAATGTAATATCTCTTTGTTTCGATTACATTACAAGGCTAACTGAAGGTGGGGAAAAGAAGGAAAACCTTGATTTCGGTACCTGTCCTCACGCATTCCTCCGTCTGGCACATCTCATTGTATTTCTTTTTATAAAAAATAGATATTTGCAAGGCTAGCGTTGCGAGCAAACCAATCACGATTACAGTTAATATACCAATGATTATAACCAATTTTCTTCCATTCTTAATTAATTTCTTCTTACCCTTTGCCTCGTATTGCCTGTTAATATAATACATCGATATTTTATGATGCAAATTTATTTCTAAAGGTATAAACTGATAATTACCACGAAAGTACAGAGTCATTTGCCGTGTATCTTTCATTATTCATTTCCGGATCGTTTACCTATAAAAATAAAAAATAATAATGATTTTATCTAATAAAGGCAAGATTATATAATATTATAACATTGCAAGAAATTGTTGGCATATATCCTTTATAATTGCAATCTCTATAATTGCAATCTAAAAAAGCAACAAAATAAATACCGTATCCCGTATTTCGATGATGTTACGCTTAAAGATCGATGTACTCTCACCTTGGCCTAGAATTGTTGAAATTACTTTAGCATTATTTCCCCTCCCTTTAATCTAGATTCCAACCTTTACTTCTTTTCCCATTTATAGAGTAAATAAGGACATGGAATAATTATGTATAGATATTACCACCATTAGTAAACTATTAGTAAGTCTTTTAACTAATTTTTTATAATTTATTGGGATATGACAAATGTTCATATCATCAATATTGTAAAATCTAACGAAAAATGAAGAAATATTTTTGATTACCGGATACCATAACATAAAAAATTTTAATCATCAATTGTATTGTTAATTGATAATTTACAAGTACGCTATATCTTTGAACAAATGATCCAGATACTATAATAGCTCAAAATGCAATAAAGTAAAATAATAGAAGATAATAGATTTTTTAAATAAAAAAAAAAAAAAAAAAAAAACATGCCACAATATGAAATAGTTAGTGATGGCAATTAATAATAGCATAAGTATATGTATATTCGTGTATGCGTATGATAACTTCTCTATCCAATTTATTCATATATCACAAGAACTATGTTATCAGAAATATTCTTCACACTCTAATTGTAATTCGATATTATATGGTTGCATCATAAAGAACGAAAATCGTATTGTGAAATTATCTTGCTTTATAAAAAAAATTGAAAAAAAGTTGAATAAAAAAGAAAAAAATATTGTGAAATTCAATGATCGAAATAAAAAAATAATCAACAATGGTTATAGAGATATAAAGAGTTTAGAGAAAACATTTCGATTTTATATCATTTTATATCAGTCAGAAATTGTAAATTAAGTGAGAAGATATGGAAGCGAACAATCTTAAAAGATATAATAAGATGTAGCACAGACTATGTAGCAGACAGTTTGAACATTATGTTCTTTTTTGATTCCCGCATGCTACAAATAGAAGGAATGCTTAGATGGATAATCTACATATGCTTTAACATAAACGAAAAGTTAAGTGGAACAAATATGATCTTCGAGAGTAAAATTTATTATGTAAATTTATTATTGTTTATTATATATTTATAGAAATATTCTAACTTTTTTATAGAAAATGTTGAATTTATTTATTTGTAATTCGTTTCCACGAAATAGTTTGCTAATATAATTATTAATAATTGCATATAATGTTACAAAGTAATCAAAATGAAATCGAAATATCATAAAATTAATATTGAATCTCGCGCTTACTTCCAAGAAACATTCTAGTCTCTAATATTGATCCATCATGTGTGTTTTTATGCATGTATCTTCAAGAATTATGCAATTATAAAATATATTGTATATACATAAATCAAGTTATATAATGATATCAAAACAAATCTTTACTAATAATCAGATTTACCATATTCGCAGCAATTCTTCTAATTAAACAAAAAAATGAATTTGGTTATTATAATTAAGAAAAAAAATATAGAATTATTATTAATCGTAAACATATAGATAGAACATATGACGATGATGTGTGATGCGATTTATTCAAGGCGTTGCGATGCTGCAGCTTTTGTCTTGTATATTTTTATGTATACGTATGACAATGAACGATCAAACAAGAGAAAAAAGAAAGAAGAATAAAAAGTAAGAACAACAGCTATTGTCTCTTTTCAAAAAACAAAACAAATTATAATCACAAGTCCGATTATTTTATGCGTTGTGTATTATGCAAGCATATATATGCAAGTACACATAAATATATATGTATATTCGGATGAAAAAAATATTTGAAATTCGCTAAGATTGTTATCTCACCTTGTATCTCATTTTTCATTCCCTTTGCCTTTTTTTAATCGATTGATTTCGTCTGAAACAAAAAAACAATCAAAGTCATCTTACGTAGAGATATATACGTAAAAGTACATGTATTCACATGTATTTCTACATGTAATGATTATAATAATTGAAATTATATGTTTGAAACTTTTTATAATATTCTATGTATGCTATTTTTCTTAATATATTTTTGAATTTAATTATTAATAAAAATATTATAAATATATTTATAATATTTATAAAAATATAATTTCAAATTTAAATCTTTTGATATTTGTAGTTATGTCAAGAAGTTGAAGAAAGAAGAAAATAGAAGAAGATAAACATAGAAAAATTTGCGAACATTTCACAACATGACAAGTATATTTCTTTGATTCGAAATTAACCATGGCTATTTTTATTTAAAACCCTCTCTTTCGGAAGGATTACGGTTCATCGAACGTAAAGTAAAAAGGGAAGGGAAATGGTCGAGTAGATGTTTACAAAGAAACACGTGCTCGCGTTCTAAAGTTCCGAGTTCATTGCCAATGATTACTTCCTTTCATTCGTACCGTGATCATTCGTACGATCATTTTTTAAAATAAACTTTGTCTTAATTGATTAAAATAATAAAATAATTAAATAACACAATATCAAAATATACGATGTTTTCAATCATCAAATAATCAATTCATCACACTTACCTGTGTTTTTCGTATTTTTAAAAAGTTAGATTTAGAAAAACATTAATATTTTTTCGTATCGATAATTGTTTTCATATGTCTTCTTTTTATCTCATGTATCTTCATTAATTCATAATTAACTGTGCAAAATGAGATTAAAAGAGAAAACGTGAATGAAAAATAATCAGAAGTGTATAAACAAAAAAAAATTAGTAAGTATGATGTTCGTGAAATAAAATAGCCTTTTATATGGTCAAATCAATTCGTCACAATCATTAGATCGTATGATCGTTAATACCGCACTCGTTTTTTCCTTCTTTTTTCTTTTCGTTTCAATTTTCGATTCAATATATATAACGATTGCGACTTGTATTTAGTATTCAAACATTTTGAAACTCGGAGAAAAAATAATACAACTCGAAAGCGATCGTAAACCAAACTGTTCTTTCGAGTTACAAACCAACGAGTATAATCTTCGAATCCCCTACCACTTCCGCGCCACGAAACCATCATCCAAGAACGGATTCTCTCTGATTTTGCTTTAGATGAAACAGTGATCAATTCCCGATCATTTCAACGCGGGCTTTCTTCGATCATCTGCAAGACGTGCCGTACTGCCCTCTTGTGCTGCTTGCCTCTCGATCGACTGAGGCGTTACACTTATAATTAATCAATTATCGAATAGATCGCGTGACAGTGTTTTTAGGAAAACACGAACAGTTAACTATACTCGAATAATTAAAGATTGTTCTTCAATTAATATTTCCACATTTTAGATCTTTGATTGTGCTAAGATTTCTCATGAACATCTACATTTCTGTAATTAATGTGTAATTGATGATAACATGAATAATAACAACATATTATTTGTAAGTATAACTACATTCTCGAGTTTAGATACATATTTTATAACCAAGAACTGACTTATTATCGAGAATGAGTAGCTATTTGATAGTTGGTAATCATTAATCGATAATCGGTAATTTGTAATCGATAAGTGTCTTAAAAATATGAGAATATCGGTTAAATTCCTGATGTAATTTTTTTCTGTAAAAACTTTGGCTTTAAACTTTTGGATTTTGTTAATAACGAGTTATTAATAAAAAATAGTGTACTCGTCAAATCGCGATGGATATGCCGATCAAGAACGATTAAGTCCAAGCTATATATATATCAAATTTGTTAAATATAATAAATATTTTTTTATCAAAAAAATCATATTTGTTCTATATATATATATATTGTTTGTTCATATTCGAACGACGGCAAATACCCAACGCTACTGTAACCTATCGTAACTTGATTACGTTCTCTGTGATTGGTCAGCTTATTAATAATTTATTAACAAAACGATAATGAAAGTTTTTGCAAATGAAAATTATTTCAGGAATCTTTAGTTAAGTAATATTCCCTTATTTTTAAAATATCTTGTATATGAATATAAATATGTAATATTCATTATATGTAATAATTTACTATATGAATACACTTTATTTAAATTAATATAAATACATAAATATGTAATTATGTAATACTATAGATGAACATATGTATTTGAATATATAAAATATGTACATATTTACATGAATATTAATTCACTATTCATTTTATCGTGTGTAGACGTTTCGATTACGAACGAACGATTACAGTTAATTATATTTTTTATTTCTCGCAGCACAGTTAGGTGACTCGTTAACCGTGGCGCAAAGGATGTGAAATTAAATACATTCGTCTCGATAAAGATATTACATTACACGTGGATGGTGAACATGAAGCGTTTATAAGAGGTTATATGCGAATTATTAAAATATAAAGGATAGAAAAAACAGCGATTCGGATGATCCCGTGACTACTTTATTAGAAAATGTAAAACAGAATAATTCAGGTACAAAGAGAGGAAACAATAAGAAATAGATGATTCGACATTCCGAAAATTATCCATTATCGAAACATTGATGTCGAATTATTTCTAAGCGTCATGGTATCTGCAATAGGCGGTATCTTCTATCAACTCCTGAGGAATCAATTCCTCTGCTGGAGATTGATGCGACATGGTTACAGCGTGATTCTCCACTTCCTTCAATACTCTCAATAAATTTCCACCCACCAATTTCTTAATATCCAAAGCCGACCATCTTCGATCTCTCGTTAATTCGGCCAATAACAAAGGATAACCAGAAACGTCTGGAAGTTCAACTGGTGGACTGAAAACATGCCGCATTCATTTTATTTTTACTTAAAAATAACATAATTCACAAAAGATCGTAATATAAAAAAGGAAAACATTTTTTTTTATTCTATTAAAAATATTCTTATGTTCTAGTAAAAAAAGATGGGAGATCGCAAGTTATTTGGTTATTATAAAAGATCGCATCTTAAAAAGGTTTAAGGAAATTTATTATGTTTACCTCGATATTCCATCATAACCAGCTCCAAGACCTACATGATTAACACCAGCTATTCGCCTTATATGATTGATATGAGCTATAAAGAACAACTATATATTTTTTTCCTTTTTTTTATTTTTTTATGCAATATATAAAAAACAATTATTTAGTATTGATCAAAATGAAAATTTTGTTTTTAATGATATTTTAATACACACATACATACATACCTATCACATCATACATAGAAGCTTTATCTCCACAGCTTAAATGTGCACTGTCAAAGCTTACCATAACCAAACCACCATTCACCGACTGAAACAAAAGATAAGACATGGTGACACCAGCATTCTCGGTTTTGTATACTTTTCTCGTCTATCTACGAGGTATTGTTTGACATACTAATCAATGCACCTTGGCCATGTGGGTCAAGTACTAGTAATTTTAGCAAAAAATTAAATTAATTAAGATATTTTCTTACATTTAGTATGAAAAACGTAATGAAAAACAAATTTTAATATAATTTTAATATAATTTTATTCTGCTATAATATAAATTATTTATATTGATTTTAGGTAATAAATAATACTGTTGTTGCAAAAAAATATATATAAAATATGGATAGAAGAAGATTTAGTTGAAATAACGAAATTATAAATAATTGCATTCAACAGCAGCATTGATTGGTGTCACATGGCATTATTTATGTTGCTGGCTCTAAGAGCCTTATATATTTTATTCAATACAGAATAAAATTCCAACCAATGAAATAGAAAAATAGTCAATTAACTTTTAATTACAATTTAAATTTAATCTAGCTTAAACATCATTTTAATGATATTTACGTGATAAAACACGATATCTATTTTATAGAGTATCTATTTTATTTATATAAAATATCTTTTAACGAGTTGAAAAAACTATTGTTATAAAATTTATTTAATATAAAGATGTTATTATATATTAATGATTTTTCTGTAGATGGACTCAGAAAACGTGATCTTCACTTTTGTAAATGGAATTATACAATTTTTAATGCAATCGATACAATTTGTTATTTCTTATAAGAAAGTATTAAACTATTTATATTGAAAAATCATTAGTTCAAAAAATTGTATAACTTGATGTTTCTAAAACTTATTGCATAAAAAACAAAAAGAATATGAACAAAAGAATATCGCTTCGCATGTTCCTTGTCTTTCATTTAATCTATATCTTTTATATGATGATTACATGAACAATATGAATGAATCTTAAATAATATTATAAATTTTATTATATAATATTTTAAATAATTTTAATTTTTCGTAAATTATTATGAATTCATATAAAATTTATTACATACGATACCGAAAGATAATAGAATTATGTATGTCTTCTAAATATCTTAAATTGATATTCTAGCAGTCAAAAAATTTTTTATATAATTAAATTAATTTTATGATTTCGTTTGTAATCAGATACAATCAGGTTATCTACATATGTAAAACAAAGATGAAAAATAGAGAAATTGAGAACTGGAGAAAAGAAAATGGTCTTATTCAACTTTCTTTTCTTACCAAATTACGAAGTATATCATCTGGAACATTGCTAGATGAATTACAGAGAGCTCTAGCAGCGCTATGAGAAAATATCACAGGCGCTTTACTCATTGCCAACGCATCCTTCATGGTCCTTATCGAAACATGAGACAAATCCACCAGCATTCCTAATCGATTCAATTCTTTTACCACTGCTTTACCAAATATCGACAATCCGTCGCTGTGAAAATCCAATCGTGCATCCGAATTTGGATCTTCCACTGAACAAGAATCCGCCCTACGGATGATAGCAACGGTTGGTTCATCACTATTATATTCATAGATACTTTTATCTATGTATATCCATTATATTTTTTTATATTTTTTTGTTCTTATATATTCCTAATCTTACCATGGAGTATTACATTTATGTGTCAAGGTCATGTATCGTGCTCCTAGCCGATGAAAACTTCTTAACACAGCCATAGACGTCCCAATACTGTGGCCTCCTTCAATTCCTAATAAACTCCCGATCACGCCATCCTTATGCGCTTTCTCGAGCTCCTTACTATTCGTTACCATCCTTATTTTCTTCGAATATCTCGAAGTGAGCCTACGTATCACGTCTATCTGTTCCAGAGTAAGTTGCACTGCATCGAGAAATTGTGCTTCGCACGGTACGTACACAGACCAGAATTGCCCACCTACAATACCTTGTCGTAACCGTACCAGATCAGTCTGCCATTGAGATCCCCAACTTACGTTTCGCGATAAGTTCTCATCGAAAGGAAAATCTTTCAACTTCGTATTTCCTCGATGTTTTCGAAGATTCCATGCAAAATCATTGTGCCTGAAACATTCATGATATTCACAACGACTATAGAGTTTGGATCAATTTTTTTTTTTTTTTACAAGATAATTTCGTACCCATCGATCAAAGGTATTTCAGAGAGCATTCGTCGGACAACTTGAAGTCTAGCTTCCAACAAGTGCGAGCTACGTAGTTCCAAAGCTAAAGGTAATCCAACACCGGCGACCAGAGCACATCCAAGGAAAAAGAAACCAATCATCACTATCCATTTCCTCAACACGCTCCGTCCTGCGTATCATAGCATCCACACACCTTCCTTTTACGTCGTTATTTAGTCATCGACGAATGCAGACGTAGAAATAACAATAAAACGATTATAAATTCTTTTTATTCCGCGACAATTTTTCTTCTTTTTCATCGATTAGAAGTTGATAAACTTCTTAACACATTTCAATATCGATTATTGGAATCGAAAATTGGTAATTAATTCATATGTGAAAAAAATAAACTTTATATCATATTCCAAAGTGAAATCTTCAACCGAGGAAAGTTAATCATCTTAAAAATTTCTTTATATCTATCTTTCATCGTTAGAAAAATTATGTGGCAGTTCCACAGGCAATGAACAAACTCACTATAAAATGAGAAAAGAATGAGAAAAAGAACAAGAAAGAAAGTGATGAACTGATGATAATATACAATATTATAAAAGATATAATTTGTTTCAATTTTTCTAACCTACTTCATTTCATTCGTAAAATCACATTTCTATTCTAACGATAAGTAATTATATGCATAAAAATGATACTTTATATTTTTAAATTATAATTATTTTCACTATAAAAATTTACCGCTTTCTCTTGGTGGATCTTTATTTTTATCAAAAGAGGTTGAAACACCTGAATCCTTTGCATGATGTATTGCATCACCGTTTGGTAATTTTCTCATTAGTTCAGGAGATGGTAATTGCAAACAAGTCTGCAAATATAATAATTTCAATCAAAGTGAACAATCAAAATATTTGATAATTTTTTTTAAATATTTTATATGTATGATATAGTATTACGAATGAAATCTTCCAATAAAATTTAATGTAATATATTATCATTATTTATTATATATATTGTACATATTGTAAAGTCTTGTATACAAGAATATCTTTAAATAAGAAAATGAGCATTGATAAATACAACAATGCTTATCAAATAATTAAATAATTAGATCAATCAATTTTTTCGAATTACCTCTAATATGTCGACTTCTTTTCTTCTTGGCGGTGGAGAACGATAAACCATACCATCTTTGCTCATACCATATAGCTCGAACATCTTTATATTGTTTTCGTAATTATTTTTTCTCTGCACGTTAAATTCTTAGCACCGTTAATAGCAAAGGAAGAGACTTATTCACTAAAATATTAACGCATGCGCGAGCTCTCATATCGATCCAACTCGAAAAATATTTTGAATTCGGACAAATTTTTATAATCCAAAACATTAAAAAATATCGATAAATCACAAACAACTAATTAATTATATAATTAAACTTATTCAATAAATGCACTTTCAAACTGCTTTAAACTATTATACAATGTATATTATTAACTTTAAGTCTAATCATTTTATTTATTATTTTTACATTTCTTTTTTTATTTATTTTTTTTAATAGTAATTTAGTATCTTATATTATTGCAATTTACAAATAGATTATAAAAATTTCGTAAATGATTTATATAGTTATCTAAAAATTCCATTTTTCGCGGGTTTATGAACGCGCAGGAAGTTATAAAGCACGCGTCGCTTCCGGCTGCGCAGGAGGTTGTGCGTAAAAGTCAATTCCCATCGCTATATACCGCCATATTGTTTGCGGCAGTCGCGTACGTAATTGGTTTGTCTCGTACATAATCTCGTCAAGTTTTTCTCTCGTCCAGTGAGCCCCATTGGGAAAGTTTGCAAACATTTCGCGAAAAAGCAACATGAAGAAAACTAAGGACGTCTCAGACGAGGATGAATATTCCGCGGATGATCCGGAAGAAGTGGAAGGAGCCTCTGAAGAAGAGTGGACTCCTGAGGCCGGAGCTGAAGTAAGCCCACGCTACTAATACTTTCCTCTTTTTTACTATTTCTTGAATATATTTTTCCTATTTTTTTAATTTACCATGACTTCTTGTTTTTCTGTCACATTTTTTATGAATTTTCTTATATATGAAAATATCTATATATACATCGTTATTCACAAATAAAACTCTGTCAATCGGCGGCACTTCAATTCTTCATATTTTTCATCAAGTAAGAAAACAAACATAAATGTTTGTAGATAAGGTATTCAAGTTATCATCTCTGATATCTGATGTTTTTCTCTTAATTTCATATTTTTCATTATTGTCAGAAATAAATATCATTTCTAATTAATCGGTTCCATTTAGTAGATAACGAGAAAACAAGTCGATTCAGTTATGTAGCAGTGATATATTGTAGCCGTGTCAAATACGCAACCGATGTATTTTATCGAATGTATACTATCAATAAAATATATTTTCTATATTTTTTAAATCTCAATAATAAATAAAAATCTAATTTTTTATTGAAAAAATTTAATTTTTTATTGTATATATAAAAAATTATTTATTTTTGAAAATACTATTATAGTCGACAAATTATTAATACTGGTTGAACTATGTATTTTTCAAAACATTGCAATTTTGTAATGTTTAATCCTTTTATCTATATTTTGTATTATCAAAAGCCATGTATTAATCAAAATAAAAAGTATCGTCATTTATATTGTAAGTATTATCATTATATTTTAGTTCAAAAAATTTTTAGTAAAAAATTAATATAATATAAATAATATATACTTGTATAATATTAATAATCTTATAATAAAATCATGTAATCATAAAATATAAACATAAAATCATAATCAGATTATTTCAATAATACTAATTTTAATATTTAGAGTGGTGCTAAAAAAAGGCCACAAAGAGAAGTTGCTAAAAAACGGCAACATTCAGAAGAAGAAGAAGATGAAGAAGAAGAAGAAGATGATGAAGAAGATGAAGAAGAAGATGAAGAATCTGATTCAGACACAGGAAAAAAACCTAAAAGAAAAAGACGGTCTAAAAAAGAAGAAGATGAAAAAGAAGATGAAGATGAAGAAGATTCTGATGATAACAGCTATAACGAATCATCAGGAGAGACGCCAAAAGATTTTACTGTAAGTTGTATAATAAGTTTATAATATCCTATACATTTGTTTATTTATATTACAAGAATACAATGTTATATATATTTATTATTTTAGTCTGGTGCATTCGTTGTTGCAAAAGCTGATATTGGAAATACAGATGGTGGAAATACGGATCCAACATTATGGAGGATAGATGGAAAAGCATTACTTCAAAAATTTTTACCTTTTAAAGAAGATGGAAAAACGTTATACAAAAGCACATCGACGGTGGGCTTTTAACATATTTTTAATATTAATTTTATTATAAAATCTATATGTTAATAAATATTATGTTTTTAATGAATATTATATTTTATAGTATTCAGGATGGTCGGTAAATAACAAAGATAAATACTTGGCTGCACAAGTTACTTTCAAAGTGCAAAGTAGAACAGAAACCATTGTTGAACTTCACCTTGATCAACATCAACAGGAAGTTGTAAAGTATGTTTTTTCTTTTTTCATTTTTATATGATGATTTCATTATTATTCTAGAATAAAATAAAAAAGACATCTATTTTTTTCCTATTTTTCAGAGAAGAAAAAGAAGACTAAATATAGATCATGTTTGATCATATTTGTTTATATACATTTTAAGATATGCTAAGGAAGAATACATCTACATTCACAGGTACATCTCAACATTACACAGACATATTACATAAATACATGGATGCAGTTTACAAAATGATATTCTAGCAGATTCGTGTTTAAAAATAAGATTGAGTGGACCATGGATCTCAGTTCTTTACTAAGGGTAGCTTTATGTATAATTAATAATTCTACAAGATACTTATGTGTATTTGAATTAACAATCAAGCTATCCAAATATTTGCAACATTATTTCTTTCCTTAAAAGGTACGACATCCACTCATATTCTATGTTTCATAAATTCAACAAAAGTCTAAGCTTCTTGTTTTGACTGCATGTTATTTTCAAAATACTATTGTATTACTTTTTTTTATCTAGTGATAATTTGATATATAAATTTTCGCGTAGTTTTAATTGTAAAATTCACTCAATCCTCTGTTGCACTTTAAACAGTTCAATGTCCAATTATAAGAACATCTTCAGTAACTAGATTCCGTGTTATGTTTAGTCATTAAAATACAAAATATTAGATATAGAAAATAAATCACAGTGTCAGTTACCGTTGTGGTCTTGTGTTCCTATCGTCGTGTAAATTCACTGGAAAATCATAATATTCTTAATTTTCTATTTAAATCTCGAAGTTTTCATAGCTATAAATATTATGTATAATGGACTTATGTTAGTAGCAACAGTGTGAATAAGAAATTAATTATACTGTCATCAATCATGTTCAATGATATGTCATGTTCAATTTAGCTTTATAGATAAAAATTATGTTTCACGTACATAAAAAAAGAGAGAGAGAGCGAGAGAGAGAGAGTAAAAATTAATCCTGTCAAATATTTATTCAATATTCCTATATTATTTGTACATTTCATATTTTCTACAAAGCTCCTATCCTGTTTGTATAATTTGTATACATCAAATTTATTGGAATGTAGGCACATAATATGGAATAGAACCTTTGTTATAAATTTAACAATTAAAAACATTAAATGATATGTTAGATTAAAAAAATATATGTGTGTGTGTATATATATAATATTTATATGTACACACGTATATACATAAATCCTGTTGTAACTTCCATTTTAATTTGTACTTTAAATGTTTTGATTAATAATACGTAAATATAATTTTTATAATTATGTCTAACTTAATTATAAAAGTTTTATGCTGAAATGTAGTTAATGTTAGCATAGAGCCCCAACAAAATTATGTTTAGTTCATAATAAGAACTAATACAATAATAGAAATATATATAATACTTGAGCATTAAAGGCAATTGATGAACTTATAAAATTATGACTCTATTAATAATAATTATTAATAATCATTCATAATAACTTTTTCCATTATACAAAAAGTTCCAATCAAAAATAGTTTTGTCACTTTAAAATATATATTTTTAAATTGATAAAAATTCGAATATTTATATGAAGGCATAAAATTGCAAATGTTTATATAAGATAAAGTTAAATATTGCAAAATAGTTCTTACTTTCTTTTCTTCACAAATATAATATTTAATAGTAAGACGTAAATTACTTATAAATTAATTTACATACATAAAAAAAATATTAACATTTATCAGAAAAAAAAATAGCTGAATTTTATTTTTATCTTTATTGTTATTATCATTACTATTAGTGCTGCTGCTACTTGTATAACTATTATTGCCTTTTTTCTTTTTTTATAGTAATATAATGAAATTACGTTACTGAAAATTAATGGGACTAGAATTTCAAAAAAATTTTTTTTTGTTAGTTTGAAGTATATGCTTACATATACATCTTCAAATTATCGAATGTGAAACACAGTTTCTAAAGTTATTTTATACATATTTACAATTTAATGTATACGCGTACATTGAGTACGATTGAACAATGGTAAAATAATTTATATATTATCAACAATGAAATTTAAATGAAAATTTAACATGTTTTATATATAGCAACAAAAATAATAAAATAATAGCAATAATTTTTCAAATATATTAAAATATTTCATAATAATAAATCAACAATATATTATTTGTAAATATATGAGATAATGCTATTTCATCCATATTTACTAAAAAATAAAAATTTTTAATTATAACAAAATATTTACATCTTTATTTAAAATTAAAAACAAACAGAGATATAATTATTATAAGTAAAAATTCTTACTGCATTGCAATTTTTATGAGCTTATTATGAGCTTTTGTGATAATTTTGTGAATTACACTTTTCTTAAGTGTAAAATGTTTTAAAGATACATTCAAAAATACTATTAATATGCGAAATAATTTTGAAAATATATTGTCGAAATTTATTTCGAATATTCTAATATTATATGGAGCAATATATTTTTATTTGTGTTTAACTGTAGTTAAAAACCAGGTTCTAATCGTACAGATAACACGCTACTCAGCATTTCTCGAATTTCTGCCATTTCTCTTCTACTTTTTGTTACCATATTTTCTAAGTTTTTATTTTCTTGTATAATTTTTTCCATTTTCTTCCAATACTTTTTAGTACCAGAATGACAACAACAAGTTGTATTTTCATCTTTATTCACGCATATTTGTTCTATGGACTGAGATTCCTCAATACAATATTCACTATTATTTCCTTGTTTTTCTTTACTTGAATTAGTTGATTCTATACAATTATATGTTTCTTCGAGAAATGTTTGTGAGTATTTAATTATGTCGTAATTTCTGGTTCCACTTTTTAATTCTATCTTTTTATCATCATTCTGAATTAATTTCGTAGAAATGCTTTTTTGCTTGTCATCGTCATTCAAGTTACATTCAAATTCTTTGCATTGTGCTGTATCAGATTCACAAATATTTAAATCATAATAGTTTATGTCATCTATATCATTTATTCTAGTCTGTCGCTTCAAAGTTTTTCTTCTTCGAGCTATACTATCATCATTATGCTTAGAAGTTTGCATAAAACTGTCGCTATGTCTTCGTTTATTTATCTCGGATAAAATCTTTCCATCTTTCATGTTACAAAATCCATCACTAGCTCTTCGAATATCAAATATATTATGTGAAATTGTGTTTAAAGAAATATCGTCTTTGCAATCAATATTTTTATCTAAATTTTTTTCATTTAAATTTTCTTTGAACGCTTTCGTCAATAAATTAAAGTCAGTATTATTAAATTCTTTATCGTCATTAAAATATAAGCTTTTTGGTAATATTTTTTCTATTTTCTGAATAGTCGTTTGTTTAAATACTTTAATATCATTAGTTGTTAAATCATTAGGTTTTGCTTCTAAACTCTCCATAACATTAGTGTCACTGTCTAGAATATCTTCAAATGATCTTTTTGGATTAGAAGAATCAATTTCAATTAAATCACCATCATGCCCAAATGCAAATGATTTTTGTCCTATAAATATATATTCAATATTCATTAGTATATTTTTCAATAATATAATATAATATAATAGTATATACATATATAGTTAAAAAAACAATTAATAAAAAAAACAAATGAAACCAATTACCTATGATCATACGTTTGTTACGCATGTCTGGACTTTTAGAACGTGGTTGTTCCAAAAATTGTCTACTGTCAGGGGACAGTACAGAAAGTGTACCACCACAATGCAATGGGCTATATTGTTCGTACGAATTGTACATTGCATATGGATCATGTTCGTGACTTTCGTGTTCTCGTAAACGTTGCATAATTTTCTGTACGATTTCTGATGGTGCTACGTACGGTGAACCTTTTAGATAAAAAGAAAAATAATTTCACATTCCTTAGCAATTAAATATCATTATTATATACTAATAATAAATAAATATAATATAACATTAAAATTATCTGTAAACAAGAAGCGATAACGATTTATAAAAATATATATAATATGCAACTTAGAAAAACTATGCAATTTTATTTTTATGACTAAAGATACTACAAATTTAAAAATAATTAATGATTAATTTATTTTATTATTTAATTTTAATGTCTTGTAATCTAAATAAATAATTATAATCATCTATGATACAAAACAAATAATTTATTTCAGGCATTAAATACTTTCACACGGACAAAATAACTATTTCATGCATTTTCTATTTATTTGTTATTTATCATTATAAAACAAACATTTAAAAATCTATAAGCATAGATACTTAAGCACATCAAAAAAACAATTAAAACAAAATTGAAATATAAATCTTTCAAATAAAAATTACTTTAGAATCATGAAAAATTCAGAAAAAACCTAATTGTCACAAGACTTACAAAATTAATTGGTCCAGAATGTCTGCGATGTGGACAAAGTCTAGACACAGATAATGTGTCATCGCTTCCTATAACATTACTATTTGTGTAACATAAATTTATTTTTTTAACTTATAATACTTTATCTATAAAATTTATTTGATGTATTTATTTTAATTGTTCCATATTAAGTGTAATAACTTTTAAATTGTAATTTATATATATTTCTATTTTATTATTCTATCATATTTTTCCTATATATATCAATTTTTTTGCATGTATTTTACCTGTCAAACCTCTATATCCTAAAGATACTGAATCAAAAGATTCACTAGTTTCTTGTTGCTGCTTCATAAAATCATTAATAGCTATGCCTTTTAACTTTGATGGCTGTAAAAATCTTTTTGGTATGCGAGAAAAGGAACCATTTTCTTGTGGACTATTTGAACAACCACCAAATCCAAGACCAAGTAAAATTGCTTCTGGATCTGCTTTTCTTAATTCTAATAAACTTTCCACACTACTACAGTGACTGCTGTCAGATTGTAGACTTGGATCTCGAACCAATTTATGAGGCAATGAACTATATAAAACATAAAAACATAAATAATAATGAAATTAATAATTATTGTGTATTTCTTTCTGTTTGTGTTTTAATACCTAGGTAATCTTGTTGTATTAATTGATGTATTAGGAACATTGATAGGTGCAGATTTAGTCATGGTTAATTGTTTTGTTCCTGTAGGATATGGAATATCCTTAGGCTCACTTGGTATTAATGAAACATTAGATTTTTTATTTGATTCTCGTTGGTTTTCATTTTTTATTGAAAAATTAGATTTTATAGGTGATGGTATTGAATCTAACCATTGTTGGACAGGACCAGTTTGACGTCTCATTTCCCAAATTCCACGTAACCAATCTGTTACTTTTATAATTGTTTCTTTCTTTGTGTTTTCTTGTAAAAAGAGAAAATATAAGATATGATATTATTAGTTATTATTAAAAAATTTATAAATCATAATATTATTTAAAATAAATTGATTCGCTATAATTTATAAATTAATATATTATCGTAAAATGTATATCGTATATAAATTTGTTATATATTTATAAAAAAATTAGTAATATCCATATGTTACGTAATAAATATTTAAAAAGGATTTATTAAAAAATTTTAAACAATAATTAATAATAATTTAAGCATTTAGATACGATATATATATATGCAAAAACGTTATAAAATAAGAAACAATATATTTATCTCAATAAAATGTACCTGAATCCATGTCTTTTAAGCGGCATGAACGATATAAACATTATTAATATCAGTAAAGCTAAAAATATTCAATTACACAAATACGCATTAACCAGTCAATGTTTTTATATATCATTGCGAAATAATAATTTTAATAATGTGAACTGATAAAATATAAAAAACTAATATGTAAAATAGTATAAATTAATACTTACCTTTAATTTAAGAACAATATAAGTATGAACAAAACATTCTCTTCTGATTAAATCGTCTTTAAACACATGTTTAAAGAATCCCTATTCACTGAACAATTTGTGTTCCGCGGAGCGATTGAGAACAGAACAGCCACTTGTTACCCACTCTAACAGTATTCAGTGCCGTCTAATGCAGTGGTACTTTTACAAATTTTAATATATATGAATTATTATATCTTAATGCTTTTATTAAGATTTTCTTTTATTAAATGCTTCTATTAAATAACAATTATATATATATAAATTTAATTCACATAAATAATATAGTAATATTTGATTGCAATTTCACATAAACATATTAATAAATAGGTAAATAAAAAGGTAAAGCATCTTATAAAAAAAATTATATGTTTTGAGAAATAATTAATGCTCAGAAATAATTAATTGGAAAGATTTGTACAATATAATATTATTATATTATAATATATGCAATGTATATTATTTGAATATAAATTCACTTGTACGTACGAATACACGTGGGTTTATAACATATAGTTATTGTTACGTTTATATACATATTGAGTTAAGTAACCTTCAAATTGAAAGGAATAGTTCATGCTCATATATATTTTTACGAAACAATTTGAAGTTTATGTTATCTCATAAATGTCATCTCACGGAAAGAAAAACAGAAAACGAATACTAACAAGGCGACCACGACACGTTGTTGGAAAAGAAGAAAAATACCGTCAAGAAAGAGATAAATCCGATAAGGAAGATGAAGTATCAGGTTAGAAAGGAGTATTTAATTGTATAAATATTTAAAAAAAAGTTTAAAACAGATTCGATTATTTTAATTTTTAGAACAAGAAGAAAATGTGTGGTCCCCCTCTTTTCCTGTTGCTATGTGGGATCTCGAACATTGCGATCCTAAAAAATGTTCCGGTAGAAAATTAGTTAGACATGGCTTAGTAAAAATATTAAGGTTAGGAGCTCGATTTTCAGGATTAGTTCTTACACCTATTGGTCAAAAGGTATGATATATTTTGATGCAATAGACGAAATAAATTAATTTTTAATATAGCAAATTGAAATTTCATATTATAGTGTGTGAGTCCAACAGATCGTGATATTATAAAAGATTATGGTTGTGCAGTCGTCGATTGTAGTTGGGCACGTTTGGATGATACTCCATTTAGTAGAATGAGAACTTCCAATCCGCGTCTTTTACCGTTTCTAGTTGCTGCAAATCCAATAAATTATGGAAAACCTTGTCAATTAAGTTGTGTAGAAGCTATAGCTGCTACTTTAATTATAACAGGTTTTCCCGAAGAAGCAAAATTTTATCTCGGAAAATTCTCTTGGGGTCACTCATTTTTAGAATTGAATGACGAATTGTTAAAAACATATTCACTTTGTACAAATGCAGAAGAGATTATATCTGCGCAAGAAAAATTTCTCGTTAATGCGAGAGAAGAAAAATTAAATAAACATGGTAATTATTATATTATTTTTTTAACTATTAATTTAATATTTCTTTATATTAATTAATATAATATGATAAATCATGAATATCATTATCAATAAATTATTATCAATGTTTAAACTTATATTTATTCAATATATAGCTATTTCAGATTTTCCACCAGCTATTTCAGATTCAGAAACAGAAGAAGAAAAAGAAGAATCAGTATCCATAAATATTATTTCTGAAATAGATGAACAAATAAAAAATATAAATATAATATAAAAATGATTTGAATGTATTTGTATATATTTTCTTTATAATCAAAACAATATTTTTTGATATATATGTTTATATTTTGTATAATTTCAATTTTATTAATAATTAAAAAATGAAAATTTTTAATTTATAAAACCAATATAATATCAATATAATTTATCAATAATAATACTACAATATAATTTAAATAAAAAAAAAATCGTATTGCAAACATATAAGTTGAAACATATTGAAACATATAAGTATGTAATATCTTTTGAATTGAATAATATCCGAATATTCGAATAGTATTTTTTGAATCAAATTTAATCGCGCATGCGTGAAATATAAATATTAAAATGGCGGAATATATATGGAAAGTATTGAGAGTCCACAAGTTCGTCAGTTGCACAGCTGATATCAGAGTGACGTCAGTAAAACAAAGCCATGCGCGGTCGATCGCAGCCGCGAAGTAAACCGAACAGACCGAGGTGTATTACGAGCAAACATTGAGCGTCCGTGATACAGTGAAGTGTGTTCCGTAATATTTTTTAGCATTAGTCGAAGAATCGTTCGCAGTTTGCATACACAAGTAGAATAACGGTTTTGGTGTGATTATTTTACGGACGATGCCGTTCATATCAAAGGATTGGCGCAGTCCTGGTGAAGAATGGGTGAAAACTGTTGAAGGTTGGGAAAAGAAAAAAATCCTCGAGTGCGCCAACAATAAAACACTTTCTCTCTTGCTTCGGTAAGCATTGCCATTACTGACTTGTTCTTTTCTTTCTTTTTACATTCCCAATGGTATTCTTTGTTTTTAAATGATAGTATACACAAATAACTAATCATTTTCGCATATTTTATCTCACAGCTGTTACATTGATCGAATGACAGTTACTGATTTGTTTACTATTGCAAATTTTATTATTGTACATGTCATATACCATTAAATTAAAATTAAATCTAATATTAGGTTAATACAAACAAAATAAAGAATAGCAATCATTTTTAAGAAATTTCTATATTGTATCGAATAATTATTGTATATGCTTTATAATTATTAAAATTCAATAGATTTTTAAATGTTCTTCTACATATATCATTATTTAATTATTTAATATTGAATATAGAAAATAAATCTTTTAACTCATTAGAAAAATCTTTAAATTGTTTTTTTATATTTGTACAAATATAATGTCAAAAATATCCTTTTCTGTTATTTCTTATGTATTATTTCTTATTTTATTTTAACACAATAAGTTTTTTTTTGTAAGAAAAAAGAAAAAAAACATTAAATATATATATAATTTCGAGTATATTCTTTTGTTATTTTGATTCTTTACCGCAGAAATCATTGAATTTTCACTTAAGAATACGTACTTGCGTATACACTACATATATGTAGATATATCATTGCTTATTCACTATACAATGTACGCAAAAACATATATATGAGTATGCACGAATATATCTGTGTATGCATCGCGTACGCGTTTAATATATGTATATACGTGCATTCTCTTTATGTCTTCTCTTTCGATTTGATACACGTAATGAGTTTGAACGCATTTTTACATTCGTTCAGAAGTTAAGTTCTAACATTATGAAAAATAATACTGAAGTATAGTAAAGAGTGAAGAAGTATAGTAAAAAGAGAGAAAGAGAAAGAGAAGGAATTATAGTGTGCATAGTCACGCTTTCGCGCGCTTCGCAAAAGAAATAATCCCCTTCTTATATCGTTTGCATTAGTCATAAGACAACATTTTATGACTAATGACAGTATATAAGATTTTGACTTTTTACCACAAAATATATTATTAATCAATAAACATTATTTTATCAATAAAATTTACTTTATTAAAATTTTTCTAGCTTCTTTGATCAGTTGTATATTATTTTTGAATAAAGAAATTATCGAAATGATAAAAGGAATATATTAGGTCAACCAAACTATCGTTTATACTTGTGTTAAAGTAGGTCATGACCTACCTAACATGACCTGAACCAATTTTGCAAATCTTTCACATCATCGTATATTGCAACAATATGTTGCTCTTTAGTGAATATCTTTATATTTATGTATTGTCGATTATCAACTTAAAAAATATTTATAAATCGAAAAGTAACAGAAAAAAGAAAAAAAAATTTGCAAATTTGCAATTTAACGTAAATTCCATTCGGTTTTCTATAATTTGAATTTTTTAATAACATATCGTATATGTATAATTACATAGCAACAAACTTATTGAAGTGTAAATGATTAATATAAAATAATTACTAAAAGAACTTATAACTTCTTGCGTAGATACGGCGTGCATATATATATATATGCACATACATGTAAACACAATAGTATACATAACATCCAGAGATGTTATTTGATTGTAAATTGTTCTATCAATCAACGATATAGTTAATATTGCAATAATATTTTTAGTATTGTCGATATTCGATAGTCAAAATATTTTTTCTTTTTTACCAAATTAATTTTATAACTTTGTTATATCTCTGGATAAATTATTCATTATTCGACACTTCAGATTATATCTCATACAATAGCAACAGCATAGAACCGATCGCATGCGCGTCTAGCTACTACGCGATTCGTTTCACGCAAATACAATATTACCGATAGTTATATAATGTTACGGATTATTGGCGCGGGGTTTCTCCCCCCATCGTATAAGCATATTACTACAAGGTCTCCCTCGATAGTTATATGTCGCAATTCGACGATTTAAGCATTTTACCGAATTTATTTGTTTTTATATACATATAGTGTATTAGTTGGTTAAAGGCATTTGGTTAAAACTTCAAACTTAAAGAAAAATGATTTTTTTTCTTGCGAATTCCAACATCATTTTCACCATCAACTAATAATCCGGATGAAACTGTTTCTTTATTGAAATCAGAACATATTTATAGCGATTTTCATTTTGCTATAGTCATGTATGGTTAATTAATGCAAAAAAAAAAAAATGCGATCTGAATTAGAAAGCATTTTAAAGTTGAAGAAAATTAAGAAAGTAAATTGATAAATAGATTTCAAGTTGAGATTTCACTCAAGATTGCTGAAATAAAATTGAAATTCTTTTTCTAGAATTAAACAAGTGTAAGTATATATTATTAATTTATTCTTGTTTTGACTGTGGTGGTTGCTATTGTGAATTTATAAAAATATAATATATTCAAGTGGCAAATGATATTTATTTCTTTAAGCTCTAAATTATGTTATTGTTATTTTTTATCTTAATTTTTATTCTAAATATTTGAAACTATTTAATATACTATTCAAATAATAGATATTCTAAGTATAAATATATTTTTTTTAATCACAAAATATTAATAAATAGTTATAAAAAAACAAAATTCAAATAATTTATATTTTATTTGTTTGATTATTATTCAACTTTTGTAAAAATTAATTGTAAAAATAAATTTGTTAAAAAATGATATAAATTTCAATTTAAAAATAAAAAAAAAATGTTTGAAAATAATTATCATGTATGATAAAATTATTCTTTGAAAATATCATGTCTTTGATGAGCACTAATTTTTTAGTATCTCAAATTCTAGGATTCTAAAGAGGATTCATGATGATATTTTAATATAAACGATATTAAAAAATATTAAAAAATGGTATTATGTATATAAAGATAAAAAAGACTGGTTATGCATTATATACTTGAATGGATTATATAAATTTATTCATTTTTCCATATTTCATTGAATTATTGCAATATTATTGTGATAATATGAATAATAATAATATACGCGATAATATGTTTATATGCTACAAATAAATAAATATATTCGGTTTTCAAAAATCTCATTTGCTAATTTTTAAATAATCTTAGAATATAAAGAATAGAGAAATAATATTTTCTTTTTTTTTGCAGCGGCGATAAAGATGCGCTTGACAAAAAAGAGAAGGATAAAAAGAAAGGTAAATACTTAAAATATTTGTGAAAGTAATCGAAACGATTTGTAATTGATTTATATTTTTTCAATATTTCTTTCTCTTTTAATATGTGTTATTTATGATTAGAAGTTTCTAAAAAATCACTTTCTAAAAACATCGATTTGAAAATTTTGAAAATAAAAAATGTACAAATCATTTATTTAAATTTTTCTAAAGCTAACTTTTTTCTAAAGTGTTTTCATATAATTTTAGAAAACGCCGTCCAACCGCATTGCCGCATCACGCTGAAATGCACCCGCGAGGTGAGTGACTTGTTCCATCCGTGCTTATATTTAACCTTAGTCTCGTGAAAGAGGAAAGAAATGGGATTGGTTCGTTAAAAAAGAAACTTAAAAGGAAACAGGAAAAAGAAAAAAAGAGAAAGGAAAGAGAAGAAGAAAAAAAGAGAAAGAACGAAGAGGAATAAAAATTGAAATTGAAATGAAAGAATAAGAAGAAGCAAAATCAAAAAAAGGGAAAGTAAGAGAGGAAGAAAGAAAAATATTATTATTGATTGGTTTTTTCTTCTGTTTGATTGCAAATATACATATAATTGTTAAGGTTGAATCACGGGCGCGGGCTATATCTGATGCATGCATATTCAGAAATGGAGAAAAGAGAAACGATCGCGACGCGTATCTCTTTAAATTCGTAGATCGCTGGTTTCAACGGTTTAAGCGATGCTCTGAAACGGCTGGACTTTTTATCCGCGGTACATGATTGCCGGCGATTCAATTACATCGTGCGACTGTTGGATCTTTTGGTCAGTCACAGAATGGGTGGTCTTAGCGGATGTGCTCAACGAGTTCTCTTTAATATGTTGGAAGAAGTTGCTTTGGAAGGTAATGAGATTTTAAGTATTAAACGAATTATCTTCTTATGTATTTTTTAATATGTGTTCTTATAATGTATGCTTGACAGTATCATTATCACAGCAACAAACTGGAAAACTTCGTCGATTGATCGAAAGAGTACGAGCTTTTAGCGCTAGTTGTTGTTGGGGTGGCAGACCCTTGGGTTCTGTAGTGTTATGGGAGAAACATAAAGCTGCTTTAGAGAGAATATTACAAATTGCTTCGTCCATCACTATAACACAGGTAAAAAAAAAGCGTGTATTTAGAATAAAATGAAATAAGCTGTCGCATGATCGTTGTCCTTCTTATTTTTTTGATTTTAGCCGGATGAGAAACAACAACCGCAATGGTCAGATTTACCCGCAGAATGCCGTCGAGAAGTTCTTCTTCGATTAAGTGATCCACGAGATATTGAAGCATCTTCAGAGGCTTGCGAACATCTAGCTATTCTTGCGCAAGAACAAAGAATCTGGCGGGAACTTGCTCAGTACCATTTCACGCCCCAGCAAATAGCTTCTACAAGACAACATAATCCAGGAAAAGACTGGAAAACTATATTTACTATCGCACGAAGGTAGATTATACATAAATTGTAATTGATTGATTATACATAATATGTAATTTTTTTAGATAACATAATATTCATTTTTCTCATATCTTATCTATATGTTTATATTAGTGTCTTTTATCGACAAAATAAATCGATATAAATATTTTATAGATCATTTGGTTTGCGAGAAGAATATGCAGAGATAATTCAATTATGTCGCAATTGCCGTTGCTTATTTTGGCGATCACTCGGGCATCCCTGCATTGCTGATCAGGATCCAGCCTTTCAAGAAAAATTGGCAGACGTTGATAGAGCGTCTCTTCATGTTCCGATTCCTCCGCAGACTTTCCTCAAATTTTTTTCTCTATGAAACAAACAAATAGACAGACAGAGAAGAGGGGATTTATGCTTTTACTTTTCTAGCCTTTCTTGACAAAGGAAATACTATTTAGAAAAGTATGCACATAAACCATAAAAATCTTCGATATCCTGCATTTCCTCTGCCTTGTCTCGTTATCGATAAATGCATCGAAAAACATACAAAATACATTCATTTTCGCTTAAATATCTCCTCTCCCGCTCAAATATTACTTTCGAATGCTTAAATTTCTAATAATTTTTTATTTAAATATCAACTTACTTCATTCTTTCAAAAATATTGGCAGAAGAAAAAAAATTAAAACATCATAATTGTTTTGTTTTTTTTCTAATATCTTATATCATATATCCAATGAATGTTATCATGTTCTTCTCATTTTATAATTTTCTCAATATTGAATGAAATCAATAAATTATATTAATATAGTTCAAGTTATCCTTTTCAAAGTATTAGGAATTTTTTTCACTTGGCTAATAATATTCTTTTTTTAAATGATTAACATGAATAATTATTGAATTTAAAACATAATTATTCATGATGATATTGTTTATTTATTGAAAATATTATGATATAATTTATGATATATGCGTGAATGGAATTTAGTTTAGAACAGCTTTGTTTATTATTGAAATTGCATTGTTGTTCCTGGCAGTTTTCTTGATATTTTATTCATGTAGATAATACTAATTTTATGTACATTCTAAATTGCATTTACGTTTTTTATAGATTTTCTTATTTTTTGTATTATCATCATCGTAGACATAATTATAGACATAACAATCAGAACATGCATTATCAGCTCATCTTATAAATAATGTTGTTTTTTTATTTTAATTATTAATATATAATATTAAAATTTATATTTATTATTAATTCATTATTGATTTTTCTATTATGTTAATTTTTATCAGTCAATTTTATATCGAAATTTCGAAAACTAATATCAATATTTTATTTTTTTTTAATAATTATATATTTTTAATTATATGTATATTATGTTATCTGTTTTTGAGTACAGAGTATACAATATTAAATATGATTTATGATTGTTAATATCTGATCTTCTGATTTTTTTATTTTTTTTAAAAATATCAATTTGATGAAATCAATTAATTAAAATGCTTCTTGTATTTTATAATATATATAAATTAAAATATATATAAATTCTATAAAATAAATAACAAAGCAATATTACTTATAGGATGAGCTAATATAAGAGATCTTATTTTTAAAATAAAATAAATAAAGAAAAGAACAAAATAGATATATTTAAGATATATTGTAAACTTATATTAAATTATATATATATTTTCTTTTTTTCTAAAGAAAAGAGGAGGGGAACAAAAAAATGATATGTTCATATAAAAAATATAATTATTTTCATTAGTAAGCATTTATTATATATTCAATTATAACATTAAATTTTTAAATGTTTCATGAATACATAGATATTATAATTGATTAAGTGATGATTAATTTGGAATACTGAAAATTGTACTGCCAAAATCGATACTATTGCATTTATCTATATTGATGCCTTTTTTTTTGTATTCTCTATTTAAATACTATATACATATAATAGATTTCTTTTGATATATTACTTCCCTTATGTAATGCAATCGTATTGTAAATTAAAATATGTATGTATCGTACTATATATCTTTCAGAAGTGATTGTAAAGCAATGTATATATAATATACATTGTATTCTACAGTGAATATTCGGAAAATGCAAATGAACTGTATTTTTCAGTTTAATTTTAGTAAATAGTTGATATAATCTTTAAAATTTATTTTATCGTTTTCTGTATTTTTTTATACTGACATAACATCTCTTTTTACACATTGTAAAACAATGTTATGCCAGATGCTTCAAAATAAAAAATTTATTTCTGTATATATATATATATATATATGACTCATTTATTTTATGTATAGATATATATACTGATTATACAATGTATATTTTAATATGATTTATATTTTTATCAAATTTATCAAAATTTATTATAAATTATATATTAATTATATATTATATATATTATAAATAATATTATTAAGTTATTATACGAAAATAATATCAATTATTATTCATATACATTTAATTCTTCAATTTCATTATATTACATTTTATTTTATTTTATTTTATAGTGTTACTTTTCTTTCTTATATAAAAAAATAAAGAATTTTTGAAAAAATATGATTATTTTTTTCTTATTTTTTAATATATAATGTTAATATTAATAAAGTTAGAGGCAACTTAAAGAAGAAGCAATAATATATACATATTTTTATATGCATATATATTGAAAATATACATGCAGATTCGCTATATATCAGATTCGCTACCAAGTTTTCAGATGTAAACAAAACCACGTGATCAAAATGCCGGGAAATCAGGATCAAATACATAATTTTGAGATCTAAAAAATAAAAAAAAAATAGAAAATTATTTTTCGTGAAGTAAATATTTTCTATTTTTGTGAAAATAATCATGATAAAAGTTAGTGTCAATCATTTAGACATATTTTATACTTATAATAAATACTTATATATGATATATCGATCTCAATATTATTTTTCATTAGCTAATAAATAAAATCTTAATATTTATGATATATTTGATTTATATAATTCGACTTAAACATATATATATATATTTATATATATATGTGCATGTATTCCTTTTATATATGTTTTTATTAAAAATTAAAAAATAAAAATAATTTAATAAACTTTTAATTTTTAATATATTTGCATATAAAGTTACATATAAAGTTTATAATTTTATAGAATGGAGATTTAATAATTCTAGCAAAAATATATTATAAGAATATACTCTTAATATTATTCATTTTATGGTTAAATTTATTTGAACAAAGCGCCGTCTATATGATAAATTTAAAAGCTTAAGTTAAGGAAAATTGCGCACGCGTAGTTAAGATCTTTAGTGACGCTGTGTCCTGTCGGTGGGTGCCGCGACACTCCGCGGTACGTGTTTGATTCATATCAGATATTTTAATATTAAGAAGAAAAAATTGGTAAAAATGTCAGCGTTACCTCACAGTAAGAAGCGTGTCTGCTACTATTATGATAGTGAGTATAAAATATTAGAAATTTCAATATAATTTAGTATCCCGCGAAAATATCTTACATGTACAAAGAGATTGTCAAAATGTGTTTGTGATATCCGCGCTTGTATCATATATTATACATTTATTTTATATTTATTTTTACTATTTTGTATGTTTTATTCTAATAGATTTATTCAATTTTAAGAGAAAATCTTTTTTTTATACAATATGTGCTTTTTTTTATTTTTTCGACAATTGCTTGCACGGTTTCAAACGCGTTAAGGCGAAAGATTCACAAGTATTGCTCCATGTTACCTTACGTGAACCAAGAAAGAGCGTCGGCTTTTTACGATCCATATAGACAGTTGCCGTTCATTCGATATTCGATAATGTGCTTTTCTTTTTTCCTTTTCTTTTTGTTTTCTTTATATATAATTATTTTCTAAGGTTAATGTTTAAATTTGTTCTTTTCATATACTTAAATGTCCAGTATTATATATCGTTAACGGTATATAAACAATATAAGAAAATGTAATATAAATATTACTGATATCGTTAATATATTTTATATATGTGAACAGAATATATTATCGAAATTAACTACAATTATTAATATTAATATTTCGTACATGAAAATTTTAATTTTTCAAAAAAACGAATTAATTGAAGGTTATGGAAAAATTTTAAGAAAGTATAAAGAAAAGTATTAATTAATAGGAGTATAATTGTATAAAATCATAGATTTGTTTAAAACTTTTAATAAGTTTGAAAAAAATAATACAGTTCTGATTAAATATGTAAACAGTAACGCTTTTTTCCATGAGTTCTGTGAGAGATTCTCAAATATGTCTCATGCGTCCGTATTATAGGAAACAATATATATATACATATATATATATATATGTATGTGTATATATATACATATATATATATTTATATATATATATATATACACACACACGAGGAATTAGAATTTGTTTATGTTAAAAAATATTATAGATTTCTAATATGATTTTTTAAAAATTTTGATAAAAAAGAATATATATTTATATTTTAGGTGATATTGGAAATTATTATTATGGACAAGGACATCCTATGAAGCCACATCGTATAAGGATGACACATAATTTACTTTTAAATTATGGTCTTTATAGAAAAATGGAAATATATGTAAGAATTATTAATTAAAATAAATATTTGTTTTTTTATGTAATATATAATATCATATATTTATTATGATATATTAATATGATATATTAATTTAAAATAATATTTAAAAATATAAAAATATTATGTTACATAGATATTTTAATCAATTTATTTCTTTTTTTTTTTATTTAGCGTCCACATAAAGCTACTGCTGATGAAATGACAAAATTTCATAGCGATGATTATATTAGATTTTTGAGATCCATAAGACCTGATAATATGTCAGAGTATAACAAACAAATGCAACGATGTAAGATCATATATTTAATATTTATATATTTAATTAAAATATGAATAATATTTATATTTGATAATTATATTAATATTTAATTTTTTTTTTTTGTTAATGTAGTTAATGTAGGAGAAGATTGTCCTGTTTTTGATGGTTTGTATGAATTCTGTCAATTATCAGCTGGAGGCTCTGTAGCCGCTGCAGTAAAACTTAACAAACAAGCTTCAGAGATTTGCATAAATTGGGGTGGTGGTTTACATCATGCCAAAAAAAGTGAAGCATCTGGTTTTTGTTATGTAAATGACATTGTATTAGGAATATTAGAATTACTCAAGTATCATCAAAGAGTTTTATATATTGATATTGATGTTCATCATGGAGATGGTGTAGAAGAAGCTTTTTATACTACTGATAGAGTGATGACAGTTTCTTTTCATAAATATGGTGAATATTTTCCTGGTACTGGTGACCTTCGTGATATTGGTGCAGGAAAGGTAGAAGTTTTATTAAAATAAATTTGATACTTATATTTTGAAAATTTTATACTAAGTTAAAATCTTTTACATAGGGAAAATATTATGCAGTCAATATACCACTAAGAGATGGTATGGATGATGAAAGTTATGAGTCAATATTTGTACCTATCATTTCAAAAGTAATGGAAACTTTTCAGCCCTCTGCTGTAGTCCTACAATGTGGTGCTGATTCTTTAACAGGTAAATATTATTTTGTAAAATTTAGTGAAGAAAATATAATAAAATTAATTTAATACATATTATTTATAGGGGATCGGTTAGGTTGCTTCAATTTAACAGTAAGAGGTCATGGAAAATGTGTTGAATTTGTAAAAAAATATAATTTACCTTTTTTAATGGTTGGTGGTGGTGGATATACAATTAGGAATGTATCCAGATGTTGGACATATGAAACTTCGGTTGCTCTTGGTTCAGAAATTGCAAATGAATTACCTTACAATGATTATTTTGAATATTTTGGACCTGATTTTAAATTGCATATTAGCCCTTCAAATATGGCAAATCAAAATACTCCTGAATATCTTGAAAAAATTAAGTATGTTATTATAAATAATTAATTTTTTTTTTCCTTTAATTGTTTTGATTCTACATATCATATATTATTTACAGAACCAGATTATTTGAAAATCTAAGAATGTTGCCTCATGCACCAGGAGTGCAGGTTCAATCAATTCCAGAAGATGGTGCAGTTATTGAAGATTCAGAAGCCGAAGAAAAAGTAAATCCAGACGAAAGATTACCTCAACGGGATTTAGATAAAAGGATACAACACGAAAATGAATATAGTGATAGTGAAGAAGAAGGAGAAGGAGGACGAAGAGATAACAGATCATTTAAAGTAACATTTGTTGTTGTTATTTTACACTTTTATTTTATCTTGTAGAAGCAATTTCATTTATATTATTTTTATTTAAAAGGGTTCTAGAAAAAGACCTCGTTTAGAAAAAGGACAAGAAGGTATTGAAAGTGACTTAAAAAAAGAAGAAGATATAAAATCCGAACCAAAAGGTATGTAAATTTGTATTTATGGTTTTTGATTTTTTATATATATTTTTTATTTTATTTATACTTTTAATACTTTTAATCTTATATTTATCATAAATATTATTATTATATTATTATTATATTATATTATATTAATTAATAATATTTTGTAGAAAATGAAAAAGATGAAAAGACAAATATTACAAATGAAGAAACAAAAAAAGATGGTGGAGCGAATCCCTGATAAATGGTATTTATTTTTGAATAATATTAAAAAAAGTTCTTATTTAAATAAAACATAGATGAGTGTAGCTAATTTAAGTCAACAAATATATAGTGTATAATTGATGTCCACTGCCTCGAGTTTGATATATCATAATTGAATAATATGATTTCTTCTATTATTTGATTCAGAATTTAAAAGTATTTCAATAGAAATATTGATGTATACATATATACATATATATATATATACATATATATGTATGTATATATGTATGTATGTATAATATATTTAAATTCGAGGCAAGAGACATTGTTATCACCTATGTATACATTCGAACATATAATTGACATCATTGAACATATAATTGGACGCTCAGCAAATTAAGTTGTTATCTCGTTAAATTTACAAACACTAATCAAAATTTTTAAATTGACAATTTATCAACCAATCAATTCCAAAAATATTTTTAAAATTATGCGATGAATGGTATCTTGAGTAATCGGTCGAATCTTATGGTCTGATCAAAGCCTTCATATTAATTTAAATCAATAAATTAAGAATCAATAAAGATAACTAGTCAAATAAGACAAACAGATATTTTAAATGTACAGGTATCTCAAATGTACAAAGAAAATTAAATTTTTTATAGAAATTTAAATTTCCATCAAGATCAGAAGATATAGGCAGCTTATCAAGATATCTAATATTTGTAATTAATATATTTCGATGAATCATGCAAAAATATATAGATAACCATAATACGTTTTGCATGAGTGCGGTTCTTTACCTTTTTACCTATTATTCACTGCGTGATCTTGATTGAGTCATATAATCGTAATCTATAGTTAAAAAGAAATGAGATTGTACAACGGGCAAGTATTATATGTTAAAAAAATTTTTTTACTTCCTATTCTTGTACATAACTTAAAATCAGATTTAAACAATATTCTACATGCAATACTATATAATAATAATGATATAATAATGATATAATAATATTCCTTTTGATATGTAAAATATTTTATTTTATATGTGAAAAATTGAATGGTCAGCGGAAAAGAAAGTATAAAAAAAATGGAACAGTCAATGAACATATTGAACGCAAGCATAACTGTAGAATCATAACCGTAAATTAAGTAAAAATAATGTTAAAAATTAAACATATATGACTTAGTCGATTTTTATCTGTATGTCGAGGTTGCAAAAGCACTCTCGTTCAAAGGAAAAATAAATGATAAAAAAAATAAAAGAAACATTTATAAATATATATATATTAAAATTGTGACTCTTTTACTATGTTAATTTAATATTTGCACGAGAGTGAATATACATTAATTTTGTGTACATAAAATTAAACTTTTCGCGCCTCGAAAGTATTTGAAAAAACAGATTTAAATTCGACTAATTGCACTATGTCAAATAAATAATCGAGAAAAAATTATGTCGATTTATCTAGTTGTAATTAAACGCATACCTTTATTGTAATTAAACACATACCTGTAATTAATTACCTAAAACACAAAGATAAATTCGATATAACACTTGCGTACACTAAGTCGATTTGAGATAGATCAGGCGTGATATAAGTATATATATATTATATGTATATTTTATTGTATAATATATATATATACTGTATCCAGATACGAATAATACGAATGTTTTTAAATATTTATAATAAAAAAATAAAGAAATCTATCATATATATTGGTGAATTTATTTCTCATATCATAAATTAAATGAAATATGTATTGTTGAGTCAAAATGGTGGCAGTTTTAAGAGGCCAACATAATACCCGCTGGTTTTTTGAAATTGTTGAAAAAAAATTGTGATTTATCAAAAACGTGACATTTAAATCACGATTTTGATACGTTCAACATGATAATAAATTATATTATTTGTTTCCTATGTAATATTGTTGCTCATATGTTAGTGTTTAATGGAATTAAAAATCTAACCTCATAATTAAAGCAGTTTATATTTTAATAGTATTCGAAAACAATGCATGAACGACTATTATTTATGTATATTAAAAAGTCTTGGAGTATTCATTAAACGTTATAATATTGCTGCTTATTGAAAATATCATTCAAAAAAGAATATTTTAAGAATTCACAGAAGTTCTAAAAAATTCTGAAAATTTTAAAAAATTGATATTCATGCAAATTCCATTATATTGTATCAGAAAAATATAAAGATTATGCTAAAAATGATTTCCCAAATGTCGCATATTATGACTCTTGCAAACAGCATCATTGGAGTAAGCGTTCTTGCAATGCCATATTGTTTCAAGCAATGTGGCATTGTTTTAGCCATTGTAGTCTTAATATTGAGTAGTATTCTATCCAGGCTTGCTTGTTATTTTCTTATTAAATCAGCTGTGATGTCCAGAAGACGAAATTTTGAACTTTTGGCTTTTCATGCATTTGGTCATATGGGCAAATTCTTGGTAGAATTATTTATCATTGGTTTTCTTGTGGGAACATGTATCGCTTTCTTTGTTGTTATGGGCGATTTAGGACCACAAATCGTGAGAAAAGTGATAGATAAAAATCCAGAGGATATTAGGACTAGTTTACTAGTAGCAACAAGTATTTTCATAGTTTTGCCATTGGGATTACTTAGAAATATTGACAGCCTGACTACTCTTAGTACTGCTACTATCATCTTTTATCTTTGTCTTATATTAAAGGTAAATAATTTGAAATTGATTTTGCTTGTGAAAATTATAAGAACAGTTCAATGGTAATTCATTAAATTTCTTTAATAGATAATAACAGAATCTGTGCAGCACATTTTTGCTGGAGATTGGTATGAGCATGTATATTATTGGAAACCTTCTGGTATACTTCAATGTGTACCTATCTTTTCTATGGCTTTATTCTGTCAAACCCAACTTTTTGAAATTTATGAAACAATTCCAAATGTGTCTTTAGAAAAAATGAATGAAGTTGTACATGGTGCATTAAATATATGTACTATTGTATATCTTTGTGTTGGTTTCTTTGGTTACATTGCATTTTGTACAGAACCATTTACAGGTATTTATTAAATTTTAAATGTATTTTCAATATTTTATTAAATACTAATTAAAAATTATTAAATTTTTTAGGCAATATATTAATGAGTTTTGAGCCTAGTTTATCATCTGAAATGATTAAGATGGGATTTGTATTTTCTATCGCATTTAGTTTTCCCCTAGTCATTTTTCCTTGTCGTGCAAGTCTGAACTCTCTCTTATTTCGTAGGGTTTGTATTGTAATATATAGTAATAATAAAATGATAAATTTAATTATTATACGATTTTTAGGTATATGCTCATGAACCTTGTGTAAATTATTTGCCGGAAACAAGATTTAGATGTCTCACTATTATAATTGTAGCTGTTTCTTTGATTACTGGCATTCTAATACCAAATATTGAATTTGTTCTTGGTTTAGTTGGATCTACCATTGGAGTAATGATTTGTTTGATATTTCCTGCAATATTTTTTATATCTATTAGTAGTAAACATACTAATGAAAGATTATTAGCTCAAGTAAGATTATAATAAGATTAAATATACAAAAATTTTAATTGTTTAGTTATTTAATTATAATATTTTCTTAATATATTTTTCCATTTAGATAATTCTATTTATTGGTATCTGTATTATGATTCTAAGTACATATGCAAATTTGTATGCATTAGAAGAATCTACTAATACAAAAATATTAACACCAACAAACAAGCCTTCTAATCAAATAAATGGTTTACCATTGAATTTAAACAAAGATGATATTAATGCAATTCCGAATAATCCTAAAATTCTTCCAAATATTAAAGGTATTATAAAATTATATATTTTCTGGTAATTTTATGTAGATATTTATTATTAATTTAAAAATAAATAATAGTTAAAATAGTATTTTATTAAAAAAAATATATATAATATATTCTATTTATGACATACTAATTATTATTATTAAATAATAAAAATAATTATATTAATAATTTTTAGAGGAAATGAATAAATTGCCAGATTTAAATGTTGTTAAAAATTCTTTAAATTTACAAGTAAACGATATACGACAAGAACCGCCGATACCAGTTGAACGTATAATTATCACAGAAAAACCAATGATAGAAACACAAAAATCTGTTGATAATATATTGGTTACTTTTGCTCCAGTCATTAAAAAAAACTTAGAAAAAGTAAAAGCTATAAATACAAATTTTGATAAACAATTAAATAATTTAGTAAAAAATGACATAACAACGATAGAATCTGTTATTGAAAACAAAAAAGTAAGCAATTTAATGAAAATAAAAAAAAATTTTATTAGTACAAAAAAACAAGATAATCTTATAAATTTTGATGCAATTAAAAAAGAAGAGTCAGAATTAGCAGCTTATGTAGAAGCTGTTAATATGTTATCTGTTGAGAGACATGAAAAACTCAGAAAGACAGAAAAGCATAAACAAGAAATTGAAAAACAAAAGCAGAAAATTATGCAAGCCAAACAAAAGCATAAAAAAAATGGTGAAGATAAATCAAAGATTCTTAATGAAAAGCCTGTTATGGAATTAGATAAAAATTCTACAATTATAACTAATAATTTCAAAAAAGAATCTTTACAAAAAAAAGATATCGATGATAAAATTCTTGATTTAGTTCTTTTGAACAATAAAGATTTATATAAAAAAAAAGATACAGATATGAATTATACATTACTTGATAACAAACTAAATAATGAAAAAATTAAAGAAATAAATTTTAATAATTCAAAAGAATTACATAAAGGGCCTATATTAAATGCTTTAACAAAACGAGCATTGCAAAGATCTATTTCTATTAATGACTCTAAATTAAATGATAAAACTGAACCTGATAAAATCATGCATAATAATAAAGATAATTCTAGTGATATGATTCCTAATTCACAAGAAAAAATACAAAATGAATATTTCTTACCAATTGCATTAAAAATGCGAAATCAAACAAAAGTAGAGAATACATTAAATCCAATAGAGCATAAGTCCGATAAAGATGTGCAAATAATTCATAGAGATATTTTAGAAAATCATGAACGTGAAAAACGAGAAATTAATATAGAGATAGAAGAAACTAGTACCAAAGTTACGAGTGATATTTCAAATAAAAAATCTGATAATTTAATAAAAAATTTCATTATTAAAGACAATGAGAAATGTTGTAAACGAAAAAAAAAATTAGAAAAAAATTTGACGAGCAAATTAAGCGAAAAAATAAGTCAGAACTCATCTAAAAGTAATACAATTGAAATATCATTGATTAAAACTAATGTATATTTGTCAGATCAAAGACTTGAAAATACACTTTCAATAGATTCAAATATTTCTATTAGAGAAGAATATATAAAATTGAAACAAAGGGATTTAAAATTCGTGAATACCGGTGAAGATTATATCTAAATATTTGGAGACCTGATTAGATTTAATTCATTAATATAAATGATATACATAAAAATTTAATTTTATAGATGTTAATTAATAACGAGTATTATTTTTTCTTATTATCAAATTGCAAACAGATAAAAAAAATTTTAAATATTAAAAAATATTATCATATATTATTGTACATATCATTATTCTTCTATGTAATCAATAATTGAAATCATAAATATATTTTTAAATTGAAAATTTTATTTGTATTAATTTTAATATTAACTAAATAAATATTAAATAGTGCTAATAGTAATAGTGATCGAATATTTTATAAATGCATTCTAAATCTTGTACTATAAAAGTAACTTGAATTAATATTTTGTTCACAATCTTTTATCTTTTATAAAACTATATAACATTAAATTAGGATTTGATAACATTTGGTATTTGAGAAAATAATTGCATGTTTTAGTAAAATTTATAAATAATTAAAAAATAAATTCGACAAATGACTAATCTTTAATAGCATAATTTTTCGATAGATTGTTTTGAAACTTTTATTTCATTCTTTTTTTTTTAAATCTCATTGCTATCAGCAAATATAGCAAGTATATTATATTTTGCAAGACCATTGTTTTAAAGATATATACATTATAGATATAAAGAATATATATATTTTTCTCATGGAGATTGAGATTATTTATATTTTTTTAAAAAAATAATTTTTTTAAAAATTAAGATATATTGCAAAAAGAAATAATGAAAATGTATTCAATAGATTTGTCCTTTATAATTACACATTATAAAAGTATAGACAAAGAAAGCAAATAATAAAAGGAAGATAGAAGTAGATTAAAAATTTTTAATTCATCATTATCTTCAAATAAAGCAAATGAAACACGTATGAAAAGGATAGAGATAAAAAAAGAATTAATTATCAGTGTCAATTATCAGTGTTAATTATCAGTTTCTGAATATTTTTATAAAAATATTTTTTTCTAGAGATCGTTAATCTTCAATTCTTATTTTGTATCTTAAAGAAATATTTTTTCTATTCAAGAGATGGCACTGTTGATCAATTCTTATTCTATTTCTATCTTTCTCCGAATATTTTTTGATGTTTTATTCATATATGTCTTATTTGCACTTTGGAGATGGCACTGATTTCAATATTTTTACTATATTTTTTACCATATCTTTTCTTACTATTTTTTCTATATTTATTCTACAAAATTTATACACTTTAAAAATGATATCGATATTTGGTTAAATCTATTTTTTTTTTTAATTCATTGATTAAAAATTTTAACAGAATTCATATTATTTTATATGACAAAAAAAATACAAAAATTGTAAATGGAAGCTGGCAAGAAAAAATAAAAATAAGAAATGCTTGCGATTTCTGTGATTTTATAATGTTTTTATTTTTTATCAAATTTTAATGAAATCATCAATGTTTCATTGTCCATATTGCATAAATATTAATATTATGCAATAAAAATAAACAATATATATAAATATATTATATATTTAATATATTATTTCAATTTTAAATATATTTATTTTAATATCATTATATTTAAATTTATTTTTATAAAAGAACTTCAGAATTTCATTGTAAAAAAAAATATGAATATTAAAATATTAAAATAATTTTTAATTTATAAATAATTCATAGCAATCAAAGATTTATAATTATAATCCATATATAATTTTGATAATATTTATTAATTTTATCAAAAAAATTATTTTTGAAATCTATTAACTTTATGAATTTTTATGATTGAATTGAATATAATTTATTGCATATATAATTTAAATCAAAGAAAACATATTAAAAATTCTGATTTTTCAATACATATGACACAAAATTCCATTAAATGCCATTACCTCTATGATGCAATTTTTTGAATATTATCAAGAAATAAAAAATAATTTTTGAAAAAAATATTATTTATTTAAAAATTATTAATATTATCGAAACAAAATTAATAAAAAATAAAAAAGTAATTACATAAGTAATTTTGAAAAAACTGATTAAGTAATATTTTAAATAATTTATATAATTAAATAATTAAAATTATTTAAAATATTACTTAAGAAAAAGAGATTAAATTTTTAATTAACTAATAAATAAAATAATAAATTAAGTAATTAATAAAATGAATAATGTGTAAAATATGTAATATAATAATTGAAATAATTGTAATGAATATAATATACTGTTAATAATTTTTCAAAATATTGACTTATTATTTAATTCTACTATCCTTATCTTATTCTATTTTTTTGTTTTCTTTCTGTTCAAATTTAGCACAGATAATGCTTAGTTGAATGTTTATATAATATGATAAAAGAGATGATTTTGATATTCTACTGGTTACTATTCGGAAAAACATTACATGAAATTCTTTATTGAAAATTCTATGAAAAACTGCTTTATCTGATTATTTTAAAAATTTTTCAATATTTTAAACGATGGAAATTTTAATAACAGATATTGATGTAAAAGATATAAGATTTCCAACATCATTATTAGCAGACGGAAGTGATGCTATGGTATGTAATAATTTAATTTTGTTTTTTATGAAATAATTATTATACATAGGTCAAATCGAAAATTCATTATTAACATCAATTGCAAAATGATATTAAATTATAGCACACTGATCCTGATTATTCTTGTGCATATGTTACTATTAAAACGAACAAAGGAATCGAAGGATATGGATTAACATTTACCTTAGGCAGAGGCACAGAAATTGGTATGTATGTACATTTATGTAAAATATTCAATTATTATTATTATAAAATAAAATTATATTACTAAAAATATTTAAATATTACAAAAATATCCATAGTCGTACAAGCGTGTAAATCAATGTCTTATTTGGTAAAAGGAGAAAATGCCAATAATATTTTTACACACTTTGGAATATTTTGGAGAAAATTAACTAGTGAATCGCAATTAAGATGGGTAATACATGCAATATTACAAATAAAGATATAACAGAATTATTTTTATGAAAAATAATATTACATAAATACGTAAGTATAAATTTTTCATTTTTAAATTAAAGGCAATTAAAATGCAATAGATTGGTCCAGAAAAGGGTGTTATTCATCTCGCAACAGCTGCTATAATAAATGCATTGTGGGATTTATGGGCTAGAATAGAAAAAAAGCCAGTCTGGAAGCTGCTTACAGATTTGAGTCCCGAACAATTAATTTCTACGATTGATTTCAGATATATGTAAGTTTTACATATTTCATTAAATGAAGATTATTTTAAAACAAATTAATATATCGAATTAATACTCAAAATAATTACATTTTTACAGTACCGATGTTATTACAAAAGAAGAAGCAATAAAATTATTGAAAGATAATCAAAAAGGTAAAGAAGAACGCGAAATAATACTACGAAAAAATGGATATCCGGCTTATACAACACAAGTGGGCTGGCTTGGATATAGCGATAGCAAAGTTAAGGAACTTTGTGCTAAATATTTAGCTCTTGGTTTCACATCTTTCAAGGCAAAAGTTGGCCAGAATTTAACAGATGACATAAGAAGATGTCAACTTATTCGTGACGTGATAGGATATGAAAATAAATTAATGGTAGATGCTAATCAAATATGGGATATAAATGAAGCAATCGAATGGATGAAACAATTGATCAAATTTAAACCAACTTGGATCGAAGAGCCAACATCTCCGGATGATGTGTTAGGACATGCAAAGATCGCGAACGAATTAAGACCACATGGTATTGGTGTTGCAACAGGTGAAATGTGCGCCAATCGCGTGATGTTTAAGCAACTGCTACAGGCAAAGGCAATTGATTATTGTCAAATCGATTCGGCTAGAATAGGAGGAATCAATGAAATATTATCTGTTTATTTGATGGCAAAAAAACTGAATGGTAACATAAATAAATAATAATTATTTTGTACATATTCCATCGTTCAATCTTTAAATATTTTATTAAAAAAACATTTTTTCACATTAGTTCCAGTATGTCCACATGCTGGTGGAGTAGGTTTATGTGAAATGGTGCAACATCTTCAGATGTGGGATTTTATTTGTTTGAATGCATCCATTGAAAATCGTGTGATAGAATATATCGATCAACAACACGAGCATTTTGAACATCCTGTATATATTCAAAATGCTTGTTATATGCCACCTACAAATCCGGGATATTCCACCAAATTTACCGAGGATAGTATTAAAAATTATTCATATCCAAATGGAGAAAAATGGAAAAATATATGTAAAAAAGATTCATCAAATCTTATACAAATCATATGATTAAAAAACATACAAAATCGAAAATGTATATGTATGATTATATATATTAATTAAAATATATATGATAATTTATGTTTTAATATAAATACATATTTGCAATATCTCACAAAATAAATTAATTAAAGTTTGGATATTAAGTTATAACAATGCTATTCACAAAGAACACAATTTTACTTTTTACCAAAAAAAATATCACAGTTACTGATCTTGATTTTAAGCTTACCTGATATAATAAAATTTTAATAGATATTATGGTTGACAAAATTTTATATTATTACTTATTATCTTCAAATTGAGACTTCATATAATTAATCTGTAAAATATAATAATAAATATCATAAGATGATATGAAATATATGTTATAAATACAAAATACAATATTATGTATATTATAATATTATGTACTTATTATCTTGAAGTCGAGATTTCACATAATCAGTCTGTAAAATATAATAATAAATATCAATTTGAAATAAATACACTTATAAAATCAAAAAATTCATTATACATACGCTTACAAACCAACATGAACCAGGTTCATACATATATCTTTTATAAAATTTTATATTGGATATAGGAGAAATAACATGTAAATGTAAATGAGACACTGTATTAAATGGTGGCCAATGAAATCCTGTACGTGTAACTGCACGATCCAAACCTTGCTTTTGTAATATTATATCTATTGCGGCAAGCATTTTATCATCTAAAAGTTATTATTTTTTAAGCAATATATGCAAAATATAAAATTAAATTTTTTCTATAAGCTAAACTTACAAAGTTCAATATGTTCTGGTTTAAGTTGTTTTGCATTGCGTATATGTTCTTTTGGCAATATTAAATAATGATGCGTTGAAACTGGATGAATATCTTTAATACATGTCACATAATTATCCTAAAATAAATTTGTAAATAAAATAATGTAAAAAAATTTATTTATTATTATATAATTACCTATATACTATTTCTTTTAATAAGTATCAGAAATAAAATTTTCTGAGTTTCACCTGATGTTATGAGGTTATACATACATTTAATCATGTCATATTGTGTTAATAATTAATTCTTTCATACCTCATATATTTTTTCGCTTGGTTCTTTGTTATTAATGATATCGCAAAATATGCAACTTGTTCGAGACCCCATGACGGCAAAATTGCATACAATAAATAACTAATGATAAACAAATTTTCAGAATATGTTAGGAAAAATTGATATAATTTTTTTTACTACATATATAGGTATTTAATCATATGAAATATGGAAATATCTTATAACTTACTTATCTCTGTACATACATATTGCACATGTAAATGTTATATGCACATTACAATATATATAATATATATATATATATGTTATATGCACATTACTATATAATATATATATATATGTTATATGCACATTACTATATAATATATATATATATATATATATATATTGTAAACATACAAATATATATATATAAAAGATATAATAAAAATATATTGCATATATATATATATATATATATATAAAATTGTATTATGCTTATAATATAACTATATATCCTGATATCTTGTGAGCAAGATAAAAGTTACATTAACAAAATTATAAATAATTATTAGATAGAAGAAAATTAGAAGCAGTATTTATTACATTTACATTATTTTGAAATTTTTGATAAAAATCAAATGTTTTTTTTATTTCGAGTTAAACAAAAATAAATATTCGTGTAATTAGAATTTCAAATTATCATTATTGATAATTAGGCTAGATTATAATAATAATAATTATAGAAAATAAATAATAAAGTAATGGACAGTAAATATAAACATTTAATTTGATATCGCATTACTTTTTAATTTAAAATATATAAACTGTACATATATTTTTTTATAAGTAGCATATATTTATGTTTTTATATAATAATTGTGAGCATGACAAATTATTAATGGATGTAACACATTGTGTGGCAGTTTAGTCGAACAAGAAAAGTATCTTTGTCTTCAAAAATCTTGTCTTCAGATTAAATTTCCGGAAACTTGATGTATCTTCCTTTTAATTCATGTTTGTTTTTCGCATCTCTAAGAAAATCCGAAAATACTTTTTATATTCAATATTTTCTATTCAGTTCTTAAAGTTCATAAAATTTCATAAAATATAAAGGGAGAAAAAAACAATAGAAAATATATGTACGATATTTCTGAAAATAAATTCTAGATGAGATCTAACAGAATAATTTAATCGTACAATTTGAAAATTCAAATCAATTATATGTTGTGTTTAGTTTAGTTTATATAAATGCAGAAAGATTTTTAATAAAATTTTTTTCTTATTTTTATCCATGATATCTTTTCTTTTCTCAATTTTCTGTTTTATTAAAACGGATATTGTATATAACAACGATTAATTGCATGACAGATATCGAAATTGAATAATTTTTTTAAAAAAAATGTGGTCGATTAAGGAGACATAAAAATTACGATAATTGCATAAAAATCGATTGAAACGTCGAAGTTATTATCGAAGTTATTAATCGACTGTAGAATATTTAACATTCTCTCATATTGGCCCATTGTATCGGCAACTTATATGCTATGGTAGGTTTATCGGTATTATCCCGATACTGTACAACTTTTTTTTTTATAAATAATTCTTATAAATTATAATTAAATTCTACGTGTCCGATTCGACGTAACAGTTATACAATGTACATAATATTTGCTTATGATGATCCATCTGTAATACTGCACATCTCTCAATATATTTTTCGTCCATCATCTGGTCACTCTTCGCGACATCATCATGTTTCTGGAACTAATTCAATTCTGTTCCAGTTTTTCGATTATCATCGTATTATTTTACAATCCCACAAGTCTGCTTTCGGCATTAAATTGTTGAGAAGAATTTGTTCGTCAATCGTTTCTGTGATATAACACGCTTTTGGTCGATGACATTTATAGTCGTTCATATTGTTTGGCTTCGTTCAAAGAGCGAATATCGATTGCAAAATTGCAGTAAGGAATTCGAGGATTTAAAATTAACTTAAACCATTCTAATAAAGAGGCAAGTTTCAGCTGCCTTGATACGGCATTTGATCCGGTACGGCAGATGAATGATTTTGACTTGGACTTTGATGGAAATGGGGACTGCTACCGTCTTGAGATATCTCACCAACTGTTGGTTCTTCGTATTTTCCTCTCTTAAAACGACCGTATAAAGAAGAGTACGGTAGGTTATAATGAATTGCTGCTTGATTAATGCTCATATGACCTAACCTAAAAAATTACGAACAATCAAATCATATATTTCTTTAAAAATCACTCGATATCATGAATAATATACAATATATCATCACATACGTTTACTGTCTATTTATATATTCGAGAAAAATAGATAAAAAAGAAAAAATCGTTATCTATAAATCAATACGAATAATTTTTACCTAACAGCTTCGAGAGCTTCGGTCATAGCATCTTCGCTCCATGGTGTAGGATTGCTCCTACTAAGTTCTATTCCTTCTCTTTTGCATCGACCATACAACGTTCCTGTTGGTATTCCAAATTCCGTGGACGCTCTTTGCACAGACGTTTGACCGGAACGTATCGCTTCGAGGGCGCGATCGAGATCAGCTGGTGACCAAGTAGTAGGACTGGCGTTGAAAGGTGCAGCCAATCTGATGCCTTCTCTTCTCGCGATTTTGTACAAGGTGCTCGATGGTATGCCAAACGCTTTTGAAGCTTTGTTCGCCGATATTGTGCCCGTTCGTAATGCATCAAGCGCATTGTTTAAACTCTCATCGCTCCATGATTTAGTAGGTCCATCCTTTTTTGGAGTATCGATGCCAAGCCGATGCGCTCTTTGCCACAAGGTCGTCGAGGGTATACCGAACGTTGCTAAAATGATCGCGAGACCACTGAATTAAATAGGAGAACGCTGAAAACAGACTAACCGTAGGCTCGAGTATATTAGCCGAGCGGAAAAAGATGTTGCGTGCTTTTGAATTACCAGAAGCTTTCGTAAGACTCATATCATGATTTCTCAATGCTTCCAGAGCAGCATCCATATCCTCTTGAGTCCATGATTTTGAGCCATGGTGATGAGAGCTGGATTGTCCAGAATGCCCTCTTGAATTATTTTCGCCTGAATCCGAATGAACAGAACTTCCAGAGGGCATTAATCCAAGTAACTCTGGTGTGATCATCATCATATTATCACTATCAGCCGCGTTCTTTGAACTAACGCTCGCCCGATCCGACATGTGGCTATCGATATCGATCGTGTCCGACGAATCCATCGTATGCAACGTTTCGAATTTGATTTTTACACTGTCACAATTTTGAATGTCTGTAAACAGATTAAACGAAAAATACAATTCAAATAGATGTTGATTCAAATAGTCGCGTAATATCGAATAGCGACATTGCGGTGGAACAATTACTACTTTTCTAATTTTTCGTTTATCCGACTGTTACAAACCAGATGTTTCTATCACCTCCATAGCCTTCATCAAAATCACCGTGGACGTTGTTCGATGAAAGGAATGCCATCGAAGGCAAAGTTGGCTGTACGTACTAAACGAGCTTGCGTGGGCTGTTATGAATCGAGCAACGTAAATCTAATCGCAACTAGTTAAGCCTGATTAGACCAATTATTTTGATTCCCTCCCTGTCTAATGACCGACTATGGTTTTAATCCCCTCCATACGATTTACGCCGAGTTTACACGATTAAACAATAACATTGATACCTTGCCCGATCGTTACACCGATAAGAATAACGATAACAATCGTATAACCGAAATGTATGTGACGCTATTCGATACAACTACAATCAACAACTGCACCTGTGGAATGATGATCTGGGTCTCTTAAATGGGTAATCGTAGTGCCGACCAACGTGGCACTTGGTGGTGTTGGTTGTGTTTCAGGTGGTAGGTCAACCTCTCCGGGATCCGGATGATGGCCATAATGTCCGAGGCCTGTATGACAAAACATGTCACCTTTTTATTTAAAGTGAAAACGATCTGTCCTCTGTGTTGCTATAAATCGGTAAGTTGCCCCACACCTAAAATCCATCATACGATCGTTGTAAGTTGATGAAAAAAAATTAAGGTGAGGGAAGGGAAGAGAGAATCTAGTAGTAGTAGTTACGTTAATGCATGCTGGTAAAAAAAAAAAAAAAAAATAAATAATAATAATAATAATATTACGGAGGAAACAAAAAATTTTCAGGTGTGGGGCCCGTATCACTTTATTGACTACCTACCGTTGTTGTTATTGCTCGCACTGTTACCGTTGCCGTTGTCGTTAGCGCCGTTGTTGTTATTATTATTATTATTATTATTATTGTTATTATTGCTAGTGGTGCTGGTGTTGCCGGTGGTAATGGTACTATTGTTACTGTTGCGTTGGCAAGTTTCCAAGACTACTGCTCCCGCTGTTGCCTCCGTGCACTCTTCATCTTCGGGTTGCCAGTCTATGTGGGTCTGTGAAATATCCGGTACGAATTTAGCGACGACCGTGATGAGATCGCGTCGCCTGTTTCAGAACGGTTCAGAACGATCGTTCGTTCTAATGGTTTTTCCCGTTCATCGAGACATTAACGCTTACCTCTTTATGCTCCCAATTGTAATTTTCGTTCGATTCCTCCTCTTTGTATCGATCGTAATGTCTGGAATCCGTGGCACGAGGCTCGAACGTCGTTCTGGGCCTCTTGTATCTCGGATGATGCCTCTTCAGCTTGGTGAAATTTATCCTAGGTGTACCAGGCTCTCTCGGCGGTGAGCTCAAACTTACCGAGGGTGGGCCGTCTCTGCTTTCAGGCACCTCGCACAATCCTTTGATCTTTAGTTGATCGGCTGTTTTCAACAGTGACTGTAACATACACACACATATGGTCGTAAACAAATGTATTCAGTCAAACGTATCTTCGAACTGTCTTTGAGATCAAATATATATATATATATATATATATATATCGACAGTATAATGTGCAACTCGATCGATTCGCGGATTTAAAGATTGATAAGAAAACGGATAATTAAATGAAATTTCGCACGATGAAAAATCAACGCGATTAAATTAATATTAGGAATCGAAGATATTTTGCTCTCGCGATAAAGAAACGTAAACGAAAGAAAGAGTCGTCGATTAAATCGAAAATGAAAGAAACGATATTACTAATCGTATCTCGAAATAAATAAGGGAAGAAAGGAAGAGAGACTCGCATATTTTAGGCAATAATCTCGTCGCCCTTACGGCTTTCCGTTTCAACGGATACGGTTTCATCCTGCGATTGCCCTCTGCGGTGGTACAGTC